CCACCCACCTTCCCAATCGGCCTCTGCCACCCATTTCTCCCTTTCCACATTCAATTCAATGTGGATCGCAGCCACCGGCCAAATAAGAAAAATAATAACATTTTTTTTAAGAAACAACAATATAAACAGTGCAACAAAATATGTGCCTTTCACCTGATGGAAGAAGCAGAGGCTTTGGGAGGGGAAAGAGCATGGGAGCGCAATCATGGAAGCAGGATGGGTGGCGTTTGATGTGCTCCCTGCCTCTTGAGAAAGGCGCAAACTGAGGGAGGAGGGTGTGCTATTTTTTCTTTCAGAATTTTGTGTCCCTGATAATTTTGTGCCCAAGGCAACCACCCCTGTGGCCCCTCACGCTATGCCACTGCCCCTTGCGTCCCTGCAAGCAGGCGGAGCTGTTGTCTCATCCATTATAAGCCAATAAACAAAAAGCTTTTTACCGCCTCCTCCAAAATATAAGAAGTGTGTTTGATGTGTCAGCTGCTCCAAGCTGCTGCTGGGGAAGATTATGAAGCAAGGCATTCTGTGTATGGCAATTGCCAAAGAGCAGCCTATTAACTTCTTCTCCTTCCAAGTTATGAAACTTGTAACTGGATCTTATCCATGTTTATTTGAAAGAAAGTCCCACTGATCTCAACGGGGCCTATTCCCATGCCAGCGTGTGGAGGACAGAGTGCATCCCACATTCACCAGTTTATTGGTATAATCATCTGGAAGCAAATAGAGTAGTTGTTAGCAATCATTGTGAATTTCCCAAGAGCAAATCCATGTCTGACTAGGTAATGTGTTTCATACATTCCCTGCCCCCTCCCACCTACATCTATCCATCAATTACCTTTTTGTCCTAAGGAGGTCTTAATTAAAAAGCTCTGATGTGTTGGATCCAAGCTAAATTCAACCTTCGGGCGCGTTGAAGTCAGTGGGATGCAGCTCATCATGGTAAACGTTTCACATTGATTTCAATGGGATCTACGTGAGATGGCAATCCTGTCTATGTTTTGGGCAAGGTTGAGCTCTGTTGAAGTCAACAGGACTTCTGATTATAAATGTGTATAGCATTGCACAGTGAGTCTGGACCCAATCCTGCAATTTAAAATTGATAAAGGATTAGATACCTAGTCCTACTCCATATGCATTCTCGAATCATCTTCCTCCCCCTCTTGGCAGTAGACCAGGCTCTTTATTCCAGAAGTGGGGACCCTGTGGTCACCCAGAGGTTGTTGGACTCCAATTCCCAGCATGGGCAATGGGCAGGGCATGATGGGAGTTGTAGTCAGCAACCTCCGGAGAGATATGGATTACCCATCCTGCACTGCATCCTCATCTTTTTACGCCTTGGGAAAAGCAGCCTCTTTTAAGAGCAGACTTCACTCTTTCCTTAAGCATAGTAAGGTAAAGGTACCCCTGCCCGTACGGGCCAGTCGTGTCCGACCCTGGGGTTGTGCGCTCATCTCACTTAAGAGGCCGGGAGCCAGCGCTGTCCGGAGACACTCCCGGGTCACGTGGCCAGCGTGACGAAGCTGCTCTGGCGAGCCAGCACCAGCGCAGCACATGGAAACGCCGTTTACCTTCCTGCTATAAAGCGGTACCTATTTATCTACTTGCACTTAGGGGTGCTTTCGAACTGCTAGGTGGGCAGGAGCTGGGACCGAAAGACGGGAGCTCACCCCGCCGCGGGGATTCAAACCGCCGACCATACGATCGGCAAGTCCTAGGCACTGAGGTTTTACCCACAGCGCCACCCGTGTCCCTTCTTCCTTAAGCATACTTGGGAATAAATCTGTTTTATTTTTTTCCTGCTGTTTTATGTCATTGGAATCTCTGGACTACTGCCTAGGGAGGGAGGAAGTGGATTCGAGAATGCATATGGAGTAGGGCTCAGCGGTATCTATTCTTCTTCTTGTTGTTTTTGTGTGGTTTTATACTGCAGCTTTATTGCTTTAGCTTGAATTAGTGATACCTTGTTTTTTTCTTCAGAAAGTATAACCACTTAGATATTTTTGAAATTTTAATGGGTTTATAAATGCTTTTAATGAATTAATTAAATGATTACATGGGGATCCGCTTCCAAGAAAGTATCTGACCATGTGCACGTCTGCACAGGATTAAGTGCTAGTGTGATCAGTGGAGCTTACTTTTGAGTAAACAAGTTGCACCGCACTTATAAATGTGCCTCACCCTGCATGTTGTTGGACCTCAGCTCCCATGATTCCTGACCAAAGCCTGTGCTGGCTTAGGGGCAAATGAAAGTTGGGATTACAACAATATCTGAATGGTCACAGGTCACCTAGCCCTGACATCAGGACCAGCTCAAGACATTTTGACACCTGAGGCAAACCACAAAATGGTGTCATCACCCCTCCATCCCAGCCAAGGAAGGAGTGAGTGAAGATCTATGTCAGGAACAAGGCAAGGGGGAATAAAGCTCCACATCAGGATATGCTGCCCCAGCGGATCCTGCCACCTGAGGCAATTGCCTCACCTTGTCTCATGGGTGGGCTGGCCCTGCGTGACATAGCGGTCTTGGCATCCTAGCCTCAAATACAGTGAGACTTAAAAGCAAGGGAAGGTGTTTGTTTTTAAAGCCTTGCTAACTTACTCCTAGTAATTTTGTTTTCAGCTGCGCTATTGCTTAAGAACCCTGAGAGTGAAATATATTTTAGTTACATAAATAGCCATATATCAGTTCCAGGCAGGCTTTTGAGGTGACGCCTCATAATGAGTTGGAAAGATTAGGATTGGTTGGTACTATATCATAAGGCAGATACCCGACAGGTTAGAAAACTGCTGGAATTAATGGATTGGGGTCAGGCCAAGGAGAAGGTAGCAAACGATGTTCCAAAGGGGTCACTCTGTCCAGAATCAACTGCTTTTCCACTTCTTCATTGGATGACTGGCTTCCAAGATCAGGGAATATGAAAGCTGGAGCAAAAGCTACTTTGCACAAGACTATTTCACCCACAGATATAACTTAAAAAACAAACACAGTAATGCACAATTAAAGCACACATATCTGTTTCATCATGTGCACACACGGTAGGAAATTGTGATTAACTATCTTGTCCACTTGGCTCAAGGACTTGTTTGACGTGAGCATTACACCAAGTGGTTGATCACACCACACTTTTCTACTCTTACTGTACCCAGTACTAAGCACCTTCCAATTCTGCCAATGGTGCCAGTGAGACAGATCACACAGATAGTGAGTGATGGTTCCCACCCCCATCAATATTCATTGCAAAGTTTGGAGCACAAAGTTTACTTTTTATTTTGTTTCACAAAATTTATATACTGCTTGACTGTAGCAAAAGAAACGCTATATCACATTGCAGGTTTGTTTGTTTTTGAACTCCCGCAATCTTCAACCTTTAAAATAAAAAACCTTTAAAAATAAAATAGGTTTGATGATGTAGAGCAGTGGTTCTCGAAGGGTGTTGCAAGAGGGGATGGCAACTGTGGCAGTAAGATTAAAGGGCAATCATAAAACATTTAAACATTTCAGTATAGTATAGTATAGTATAGTATCAAAATATATATATATTTGCAGAATATGGATGGATATATTTTCCAAATGAGAGCAAGAACATCAAGTGATACGGAGGACAATCCTAGTTGTGTTTTCCAATATATTTCTTATCTATTAAAAATTTGGTGTGGTGCAAGCAATTTTTTCTTCTGAAAGCGTGACCCAGAGAAAAAAGTTTGATACCCACTGTTGTAATAATAATAATAAATAATAATTTTATTATTTATACCCTGCCCATCTGGCTGGGTTTCCCCAGCCACTCTGGGCGACTTCCAGAACATATAAAAACATAATAAAATGTCAGATGTTAAAAACTACTTGAAATAATAAAAATATTGTAGGGTTTAGGTACACTTGTCTGAGAGATGTGAGCTACCCAGTGGCGTAGCGTGGGTTGTCAGCACCCGGGGCAAGGCAAGTGATTTGCGCCCCCTAACCCGTGGATTTTAGTAGGGGCAGAGAGCTGCGAGTGCGAGCGTGCCCCCCCAGACGTTGCGCCCGGTGCGGCCGGGCCCCCCTGCACCCCCCACGCTACGCCACTGGAGCTACCTTAAGGAACTTACCATGTGGAAAGGCCAAGGTTTTAAACAAAATGTATAATGGTACACCATGAAGCAAATAAAATTGTTCAGGATGGATTTAACAAAACGATGTTTTGGGTTGTGACAGTGGGTGGAGAAACCCACTATGAAATAAATAGCTTTATACCTATACCTGCCCAGCACTGCAAGGGACAAAATTATTATTACCATTTTTTATTAAATTTGTATCCGTAGATCTCAGGGTGGTACATAAAGATACAATATAAAAACACGAAATATATGATAAAAGCAAGAACAAGAAACATAATCCATTAATTAAACTTCCATCCCCCCCAAAAAAATTTAAATAGAAAACTTCATTGTCCCATCCTTTAAGTGGAACTTGGGTGCAGCCAAGGGGGGAAGCTGCCCCCTAAATCAATCAAAACCAATACAAATTTGAGGTTCTACCCCCTCCCCAAGAAAAGCCTGCCCTCCCCTAACAAAAATCCTGGCTACGCCCATGACGGCCACCCAACCTCTCCGCTTGACACTTCTGGGACTAAAAGCGCAGTGATACTCTCTCGGCTGCCGAGGGTGAAGACACCCAACGTTCCATCTGGAACGCTGCGACACCGCTGGCTCCGCCCCCTGCCCTGCCTCCTCCAATCAGGCGCTCCGCTGGGGCGTTTCTCCGCGGGGTTCCGCCCCGCCCCGAGCCAACCTGCCCCGGCAGCCAATGGGAAGCAGGGCAGGTCCGCGAATTCACCTGCGACTCCCGGGAGCCACCTGAGCGAGCGAGAAAAGCCGACAAAACCCGTTTGTGCGGCGGGCTGTGCGCTCCGTGTCCCCTCTCTCTCCCTCGCGCGCGCTTCCCATCCCCAAGTTGCCCGCGCCGCCGCCAGGATCCCGTCCTAACCAGCCGGGCCAGTTCTGCCACCCGCTGCCTGCCAGACATGACGCAAGAGTACGACAAGTAAGTGATCCAGCTGGGCAGACGGGAAGGCGAGGGAGAGGGGGTGAGTCCGGGCAGGTCCGACCGGTGCTTCTGTCCCCAACCCTCCACGCCCCCAGCCCAGACCTCCTCGCAGAGATTCCGCCCCCCCCCCAGCCACGGTTCCAGCTGCTACTGCTGCTACTACTCGTGTGCAATTGCTAATAATGGGGATCAGGGGCGGGATGGGGGGGTTCCCAAAATTTGGCTCCCTGTCGGAGGGGTTGGAAGGACATCGGCGGCACTGCCAGCCCCCCCCCCCCCAAGTGACAGGAGGGAAGAGGTGCAAGAGGTGGGTGGCTGGGCATTGGGGGGGGGTCTCTTTTGGTGCTGGTAAGCTGGGTAGAGAGGAGGGGATGACAGCTTTGCTTCTTTTCCTGTGGGTTTTTTTAAAGGGGGAAGCAGTCGATTGGATAATAGGATTAAGTTAATTCGGAGTGACTCGCCTTTCTTCAACTGCGATCAAAGCAGCTCTCCGCCATAAGTTTACACACACACACACACACAAAGGAAAACTTTGTGGGGGTGGGATCGAGACTGGCCAAAAATGGCCCGTGCTAAAGGTCCTCGGTGTGCGTTTTGTTTTGCTTTCAAGAGAATACACTTCGATCAGGTGCTCTTTTCTCCAAAAGCAACAACCTGATCGCCTGTGTTGGCGAGTTGGATTTCCCCATCAGCTCCCAAATGCCTCCAGGCTCCAGCCTACTTGCTCTCGCCGGGCGGGGTCCCGCTCCGTAGTCGATACTGATGGTGTGCGTCTTCGTATCTACAGCTGGGTGGCTTCTTACAGCTCAGTCGGTAGAGCCTGAGACTCTTGATCTCGGTGTCGTGGGTTGGAGCCGCCCCACATTGGGCGAAAGGTTCCTGCGTGGCAGGGGGTTGCACTAGAACTGGGTGACCCCTGGGGGTCTCTTCCAATTCTACGATTCAAAAATCGAAGTTAGCTTCCCTTTCTCGGGCGCGGGGGAATTGAGATCTTGGTGTGGGGATCTGCATTGAGAGATCCCTGTGCAGGGATAAGCGGCACGGGAATCTAAAGGGAATCTTCCAAGTAAGCGCGCCAAGGACAGTAGGATTCCTTCGCGAGGTCTTAACTCCCTTGATTTCAGCTGGAAAGGGATCGCCCGTTGAAAACACAGCAGTGGGGAGTTAAAGGCTGACTCCATCCGGCACAAAAGTTCTCCAACTATTTAGTACTGTATGCTACATCTCATTATTCTGTCGCCCATCATTTCGACAAGCTAGCTAGGCAGGTGTATATAGAGAGGGAGCCGTGGAAAGTTTTGGATTCCCTGACTCGTTCACATCCTTCTGCTTATGTTCTGCATACAACTTGGCCCCAATACCTCACCTGTCCCCCGGTCTGTGTGTTGCCAATGTAGTGCCCAACGTCAGCATCCTATGGCAGCCCCCAGGATCTTGTTCCGCTCTGCCCACTGAAACCAGGACTTCAAAGGTGTTCTTCTGGCCAATAGATGGCTTTTTCCAAGCCTAATTGTGGCATGGGGGTGGTTTATTGGTTTGCTGGCAAGGGAAGAAGAGTTGTGGCATGTGCATGGTGCCCACGACAGTTTGGCTGCTTTGCCAGTCAAAAGCTTGGTGACTCTTGTCCTAACCAGCCTGGCGCTTGTGTTGGTTTTGTCCTCTTTCCACTTGAAGCCACAGCTGAGAAGAATTTTGGCTTTGAAACTCGACTCCTCGGCTGGTCACTCTCATCTCCTCCTCCATCTCCTGTGTGGGGAAGACTCACTTGTCTGTCAGGAGGAGCCGCATGTCCGCACCTCTCAACAACAACAACAACAAAAATCCAGCCAAGAACACAGAGGAGGTTCCAGACCCTCATTTTGCCCAAGGCTCTTGTGTCATGGCAGGAGGTTCGCGATGTGCGCTTCTGCCGCTGTTGCTTTTGTGTGTGCTTCTCCCCACCTCTTTTGAAGATGAGGGCTGGGCTCTGAGAGAGATGCCTTAACTCGGGCATCATTACCTGAGTCACACACCTAAGCTTTTTCTTTTCTTTAATGGCATGAGCAAGGCTGCTCTTAATTTGAATAAGATTTTGCTGAGCATTCAGAGACTTTAGTCTGCAATTAGATCCTGATGTGCAGATTTATTCTGCAGGCATCACAAGGGCTCCTTTTAATGTCCTCTTGGAGAAAGGACAGATGGATTTTTATGAAACTCATCCCCCAGGGAAAGCAGATTTGTCCAGGTAACACGAAGTATTCTTTTAAAGTGGGGGGGGGGGGTTTGAGAGTTGGGTGGGGTTGGAAAAGTGATAGACGATATTTAGCAATGCATTTGCTCCGGATTGTGTGTTGCGAAAGGGTTCCTACCTTAAATCTGTGATCGCTAGTCAGCTTAGAAAGTTTATGCGAGTTGTGGCATTGCTTTTCTGTAAGTTGTGCTCAAGGCAAAATTGCAGCTGCCTCAGTGGTTCTTTGCTTTGTTTCAAGCTTATGCTTGGTGACATAACCTTTGCCATGTTCCCTCCCAGGACCAATTGTTCATTTTGCTTCAATCTCCTTGAAAACCATACCTGGTGCAGTTTTACATGGAAAGATATCAGGTCTTGGTGGCGGTTATAACTACAACTCTTTCTTATTAAGGGTGCTTCTTTTTGGCGACAGATCACTTGTGCCCTTGGGGAAAGTGTCTTTTTGAATTGGAAGTTCTCAGTCAAATGTGATGCTTCGTTTAACTTAATGCTTAATGGAAGGCACTTGAGGGCAGCATTGTTGATCAGTCAACTGCTGAGTATATAAGGACAACTGGCATATTGTCATCTTCCTGTTTGGCAGTGTGGTCTGCAAATAAAATAAACGTGTCCCTTCATAAGAGGGCATTTGGCTGTACTCAGGTGTACAGGAGGCTGTGTCTTGCTGTATATTCAAGTTGGGAACCAGGGAACAGCCATTGTATAGAAGGCTCTTTTCATAATGCGTTGGTGTTTGATGGCAGGGCTAAGACTTGCAACGGGAACCGCAAATGTTACTTTTAGAACAGAAGTGGGGTTATCATCGGGAGTCTTCTTGTTTTGCATTGGCTTTGTCGGAGGCAGGATTTCATACGTTCTGTGGTATTGACTTTATTCAAAGCTGTTGGATTCTGGCCAGATTTGTGTGCAAGACCGATGGCATGCTAAACACCAGTCTTTTCGGAGAGAAAAAACGGTAGAGCGATGTGGCTATGTCTGTGATCTTGGCAAATGTTTACTCAGAAAAGTAAGTCCTGTATGAGATGGATGTGACTTTAGAGCAGTGGGAATAGGATTGGGATGTCAGACTGCAATCTGGAAGATGCTTTCTTCTGAGGAACGCAGCATTGCTCTCAGCTGAACTTATGCTAGATTCCAGTTGCAATTTGCGGCGGGGCATTTTATTAAACAAGTCTGTATAATGAGTCCTTATGCATCAGTTTACATTCTTCTGAAAGCTCAGCTGGTTAGATCATGGTGCTGAGAACACCAAGGTTGCAGGTTCAATTCTCTTATGGGACAGCTGCATATTCCTGCATTGCAGGGGGGTGGACTGGATGATCCTCAGGGTGCCTTCCAACTCTACAATTCTATGATTAAATTGTGCTCCTGTGGGGTTAAACCATCTTGCTTTTGTTTTCTGCATACTAAACATTCTGTCCTTGTGCCATTTCCTCTCACACTAAGACATGGCACACGAAAGCTCATACCAAGAACAAACTTAGTTGGTCTCTAAGGTGCTACTGGACAATTCTCTATATCTATATATATCTACTGTGTCAGACCAACACGGCTACCTACCTGCTTCTAGATGTTGGACTATAGTTCCCATAGTCTCTAACCACTGGCCATGATGGCTGCAGGGAGTCCAAAAGTGTTTGAAGGGGCTGCAGGTTCAGCATCCTTGCGCTCAGAAAAGGTATCATATTATCCATTGCCATGAGGGTAAAAGTGAAAATTGTAGTGTTTGCTACAGGTGAGCAATCCCGTTGCATGTATACTCAGAAGTCCTACTCTGTTCACATGGAGCTCACTTCTGGACTGCAGCCGTAGCTCATGATTTTGTTTTAAATAATAGTTTGAATCCTGGAATTTTTCATACCGCCCTCAGTTCAGAAGTTCTAGTGGATTTTCAAGGGATTGCTAAATTAGATTTCACCATTGTTGGCAGAACAGTCAAGCCCTAAAACTGTAAGGCAGGGGTCAGCAACCTTTTTCATCCGTGGGCAGGTCCACCGTCCCTCAGACCATGTGGTGGGCCGGACTATATTTTGGAGGGAAAATGAACGAATTCCTATGTCCTACAAATAACCAAGAGATGCATTTTAAATAAAATCACACATTCTACTCATGTAAAAACCCCAGGCAGGCCCCACAAATAACCCTGAGACGCATTTTAAATAAAAGGACACATTTTACTCATGTAAAAACACACTGATTCCCGGACCGTCTGCCGGCTGGATTGAGAAGGCAGTTGGGCCACATCCGGTCCCCAGGCCTTAGGTTGCCTACCCCTGCTGTAAGACATTTTTTTGAATGGCAGTTCAGCATTAAATAAATTGAGAGGGTAAGAAATTGAGAGGATCCTTTTCTTTCAACCACTAGCTCTTTAACATTTTAAGACCATTTGGCGATGGCTAAAAGTTTTCTCGCAGTTATTCCTATCACAGAGATTCACATTACTAAGAGAAAGCTACCTGCAATATTCTGTAGTCCTAAAATGTGATGGATAGCTTAGAAAACATCTTGACAATCATAAAGTTATGCTGCATTAGTTTAAAGTCAGTGATTGTTTGTGAAGTTGGTTACACTCCAATGCTTGTTTACACTCGTGTTTGAACACCACTATTTCTCTATGAAGTTCTTCAGCTTGGATTGTAAAATGTAAAATGAAGGTTTGTACATGAATGGCCATAGATCAGCTACCTAGAGCTAGTTACTTTGTATTATATTTTACTTATTTCATATAATTTATATTTTATTTAATTCATATAATTTATATACCTCCTGATTGTAAAATAAAAAACCTCAAAGAAGTTTACAAAAGGTAAAACAGTAAAAAATAAATAAATCACAACCATACAAAAGTTAAAATAATGCTCTTCCCTAGGAGACCTGCCTGGTGCCTTCATTAGACATCTTTAGGCATCAGGTGGAAACATTCCTCTTCAACCAGGCCTTGGGCTGATTAATATTTTAATAACCCTGTTTAATGTGTTTGTGGGAGGGGAAGGGGGTAGGTTTGCCATATTTCAAAAAGTGAAAATCCGGACGGAAAAGTTTTTTTTTTAAAAAAAGCTATTTTTGAGGGAAATTGGCAAAAAATGACACTGCTGACATCAGTTGCCATACGCCTGGGACATTTAGCCGATTTCCACCCAGACACTGCTTTCGACTGCGGTATTCCGAGTATGGGAAATTCCGGACGTATGACAACCCTGGCGGGGTGGTATTGATTTGTGGTTTTTTGGGTTATTGTTTTCATTATCCATTTTTTATTATTATGTTGTGAAAACCGCCCTGAGTTCTACAGAAGAAAGGCGGTATGCAAATTTAATAAATATAAATGAATGAAATGAAATGAAATACTAAAATGGATTAAAATTAGCTCAACTTTCAAAGCATCTGGGTAGGCTTGTCTAAACAAGAATTGTTTTAGCAGGATGGCAGTGCTCCATCTCCCAACCCATTCCTTCACTGCTACCTTAAACTGAAATAGATTGGGTGGTCAGGGTTCTGTTCTGTAGCAGGGCAAGGAAACTGGGGAACCAGCAGGTGGGTTGGCGGCCAGTGTGTTGGTCCTAATATAGTGGGAGGGAGATAGTGACTACGGAGAGATGAAAGTTGAAATGAAAGCAATGACTGGGTTGAGCAAGAGAGTCCAAGATTACTGAATCGCCATCACATTTTGATTTTGTAGGAAAGCCACTGTTGTGTATTTTGCTTTTGCTATCTTAAATTGTTTTGATGATTAATTTGCTGTATTTATTGTACTTTTATTTTACCTGTTTAAAAAACAATGTGTCGTTCTCCATTTTGGAGTGTTCAGGAGCAGGTGCTGTGGGTCAAAAGTGGTATATAAACAACCCAGAAAAATGAAGACTTAACACTCTTTGCCATGGGAGACTAACTCTGGACTATATCACCACATTATCCCAGCAAGGCACAGAGCCCTTACGGCTGTCATGTTTTCCTATCTCTTCTCTCTCTCTCTCTTTTTGCAAATTATTCAAGCAGAAAACAAGGCAGTGGTTATGAAGTAATTACACACACAATGGAAGACTTATTTCCAGCTCTTGCTAAATGCCTTTTAGCATTGTGTGTGCATAGTTCACTGTGCCAATTGACCCTTCAGACTTTAAAACTTGACACAGGGCAGCTGTCAGAAATATACACATTTCACTGTCTTTTGAGAAAATACGGTCTCGTTTTTCCTCAAAGAACCTGCAGCTCAGGGGAGAGATTGAGTTACTGCCAAATCCTGTGCTTTGTTGATAGCTCTGAAGATAATTCTTTCTACGTTCTTTTTTTTTTTAAAATGGCGCATTTGCGCATTTTATTTGGGGCGGATGGTTGCAACGAGAGAGGATGCTTACAAAAGCTTTGATTTTTGACAGATTTTAATGTTATTGGCTGTTCCACTTATAATCTGAATGGGGGTGGTATTTGCCTGTGTGCTTTTTCATTTTAGGTTGAATTCTTCCCTGTCTCTCCTTCCTCACCACTCCTAACCATTTACAGCAGAGGGAACACCACCCAATATGATTTTTATCTTGCCCTGATACTGCTCCCACTGCATGTACAATTTGTCATGTGTCTGTCATGTGAGGAGTATGCACTTGTCACGTGGTGTATGCATTGGAGTCTGATTGGCCTGTTGATGGGGCAAAAGTGTGTGATTGGTGCAAATGACCTGACAGGACACAAAGCGATTTCCCGCATACTCCATATGGGAAACTTTTCTCCGAACATCAAATGCACAGTCTAGTAGGCCCAGTTTCATCTCTAGAAATTCAGCGTAACTAGTTCTGTCAGGGCTGAGCCTTCAGTGCCAGCCTGAGGGGAGACAAGGGACTGTGCCAATGAAGCAGAAACACATCAGAGCAAGGGGGAATTGCTGTCGCTCAGAGAAAGTATCAGAGGAAGCCTTAGGACGAGACTTCCCCTGAGCAACAGGCTTATATGCATTATGATGTATTTAAATTTGATTGGTTGGCAACTGAATTCTAGAAAGTTCTCTAGTAGCTCAATTGTGATTAGCTAACGTTGGTCACGCGGGAGGTAATCTAGTGAAGGAGAGACTCGATTTTATGTGAAGCAAGATGAATGTGTTTTAGAATCCAGTTCCCAGGATACTTGAGGACGAGGTAATATGTGATTTTAATGTATGGTGTGTAGAAAGCCTTTGTGGAGAGGGGTCATGTTGGTTGTCATAGGCCAGGCATCCCCTACCTTCGGATGTTTTGGACTACAATTCCCATCATCCCTGACCATTGGTCATGGAAGTTGTAGGCCAGAACCTCTGGAGGGCCGCAGGTTGGGGATGCCTGTCATAGGCCAACCAAGAACGTTTTTTTTGCAATTGCTTTGCAAAATAAAATGAAGGCTTGCCCTCTAGATGTTGCTGGGCTTACGGCTCCATTGCCACTGATGATGGACCATGCCAACTGAGGCTGATGCAAGTTACAAGCCCAACAGCATGCGGTGGGCACCAGGTTGGGGAATGCTAACACAGAACAAGGTGTTGATGCAGGGCAGGGGAGAAGACAGTGGTTCCCCTTCCATATTATTAAATATGCATTTTGTGAAGGAACAAAGAGAACTGTACAGCATTGCACCGATCTTGCACAAATTTTGGGAAGCCCTGGTGACTGTATGGGCAGAGCTGTCAGATTTCAAATTAAGGGTTCTGCCTGTATTCCTCAGCACGGCTGCTGCCCCTCCCTTGCTTGCTGGTACAAGGCAGCCTCTAGTTTTGCAACATAGCAGCCTAGGGAGGAGAATGGGTCGCCAGTAGTGATGGCATGGGTCGAGAGGCGGAGCACCCTGATCCTCTCCCGCTGACTCGGAGGCCCTTAGAAAAAGTATCCCTGGCGATCTCCTGCTTGCAAATCCTATTTCAAGGGCAAATCTCTCTGATCTGGATCCACAGAACCTGATGGCAAGAGGCTGAGAAAGGGCATTTGTATAATTCCGTACAGTGGTACAGTACCTCGGGTTAAGAACTTAATTCATTCTGGAGGTCCGTTCTTAACCTGAAACTGTTCTTAACCTGAGGTACCACTTTAGCTAATGGGGCCTCCCTCTGCTGCCGTGGTTTCTATTCTCATCCTGAGGTAAAGTTCTTAACCCGAGGTACTAATTCTGGGTTAGTGGAGTCTGTAACCTGAAGCGTCTGTAACCTGAGGTACCACTGTACTAGGTATTTTGCCAGCTTGTGGCTCAGGCATGCTAGGGATGGGGAAATAGCATTTATTGTTGTTGTTTTTGTTAGAATAGATTTATATCCCACATTTTTTCTCCAAGGAGTTCTAGGTGGTGGACATGGTTCTTCCCTCATCTCATTTAATGTCCCCAACAACCCTGTGAGGTAGGGTTAGGCTGAGAGGCAGTGACCAGCCCAAGGTCATTCAGAGAGCTTCATGGCCAAGCGGGGGTTTAAACCTGGTCTCTTAGGTCCTACTGTAACCACTACACCACACTGGCTTTCATTGTCACTCATAGAGTCACAAGAGCAGAATGAAGTGTGGACAGCACGCAGGCTTTGTCACATGTGATTAAAAACACTCCTTGAAAGCTTATTTCTTTCTATTCTATTTTTCCTGGTGCCAGCACAGAAAAGGCCATGGTCTCATTATTAGAAAATATTCATACAGCACTTTCCCAAAAGGTTTCCCGCAGACAGCTTCCAGGTCATGTGGCCAGCATGACTAAGCCGCTTCTGGCAAAGCAGAGCAGCACATGGAAATGCCATTTACCTTCCCACTGGAGTGGTACCTATTTATCTACTTGCACTTTGACGTGCTTTCGAACTGCTTGGTGGGCAGGAGCTGGGACCGAACAATGGGAGCTCACTCTGTCGTGGGGATTCGAACTGCCGACCTTCTGATCGGCAAGCCCAAGAGGCTCAGTGGTTTAGCCCACAGCACCACCCACGTCCCACCTTCAGCAGGCCTACTTTGAGTAAAAAACTCGAATTCCACCTCATATATGTCTTACCGGAGTTGCCAATCAGCAGAAAGTTGCTTTTTGTTTAAGACCTGCTTGTTGGTTTAAATTCCCATTCTGTGTAAGTGTGTAGGAGAGAAATCTGAAATACCTGTGCTTTGTGACCCATCCACAAGGTTTCCTGGGCTCCGCAGGCTGGTTTCTATTCCTCAGTGGCAAAATACAAAGCAGCATGAGCTGTTACAACCAACATTGTTCTTTGTCAAATGCATGAAGCGAACTGAGAATGTGGTTTGTGTGTATAGAGTAAAAATACAGCTATAGGTTTCCATAAGACTTTCGCTTCAAGGACTGATGGTATCTTGTGTTTCATGCAGGTTTCATTCCTCCCCTACCCGTTTTTCAGCCCCTGGCAATATTTTAAGCAAAACTTAAATTTTGTCTTAAGTACTAACTAACCTTTGTGTATGCTGAAGGGGAAACAGTGTTTTAAGTGGGTCTGAACCCAGATCTGGCAGTATTGATTCAACAGCAGACCCTCCAAGTGTCCCTATTTCCCAGGGGCAGCAGTGGATTTACAGAAGCCGTTCCGGTTTCTGATTTGATCCCGGAATGTTCCGCTTTTCCTTAGGACGTCCCTATTTTCACTGGGGAAATGTTGGAAGGTATGGAGTTATGCGACCTCCGAGCCAAGGAGATAAGTAACTATACAACCTTTAGAAGACATCTGAAGGCAGCCCTGTATAGGGGAGTTTTGTAATGTTTTATTATATGTTGGAAGCTGCCCAGAGTGGCTAGGGCAACCCTGTCAGATATGCGGGGTATAAATAATGAAGTTGTTGTTGTTGTTGTTGTTGTTGTGGAATAGGACGTCCCTATTTTCACCAGATAAATGTTGGAGGGTATGAATCAGCTGAGACATCTTCTTGCAAAAAGTACCCCCAAAATTACCTTTTGTATAAAAATAACTCTTCTTTTTGAATGCTCCGAGATGTCCTCACCTCAGACTAAGGCTGGTTTCCAACCAGCTCTAAGCCAAAAGTAAGCTCTTTGGATACTACTTTGCTAGTGGACATAACCCAGCACATGCTTGCTTATGGGCACATTAAGACCTCAGAGTAAGTGGATTTAGGGAACTAAGTAAACAAGCCGCTTTATGAGTTTATTCAGCAGTGAGTCACAGCTAATGAAAAGCTTCACTTGAAACTGGTGCTTTGCAGTTATTGGCCTGGGTCCTTTCTGGACTGCGAGTAAATCCAGGAAGGTTTTCATTTTGGTACTGCTTTTACACAAAATTTGTGCAGAGAATGAATGCATGCGATACTGAAGATCTACATGCCTTGGGGTAGCTCTGGGTCGTTTGTGTTCCAAGAATGACCAAAAGCCATTGGTATTGCATTGTCAACCTCTAGCATTCAGAAATCAAGATTATAGTTTTAAAACACAGTTTGAAATGTTTCGTTTATGCTATTGGCTTTTCAAATATAGAAGCCTCAAATACAGTAAAGACTTCTTCTGAAGCTTCCCCCCCCAAAAAACATAGGTGATTTATTTTTATTTTTTACTTTAAATATTATAAGCTCGGGACAAAATAACTGGGAGGTCTTCGTTCACTGTCAAAGCACGTATCTTAGATTACAATCCTGTATGCATTTACTTGGGAGTAAAACTCACTCAACTCAGTGGAACTTGGTTCTGAATGCATAAGATGGACTTGTTCAGGCATCCCCAACCAGCAGCCCTCCAGATGTTTTGGCCTACAACTCCCATGATCCCTAGCTAACAGGACCAGTGGTCAGGGATGATGGGAACTGTAGTCCAAAGCATCTGGAGGGCGGAAGGTTGGGGATGCCTGCATTGTTAGACAAACAAAGTCCTAGGTTAGACCTGTTGTCTGGTTCCCAGGAGTTTCAGGCATTCAGATCAGACATCCCTGAGTTAGATAGGCCAATCATCTGACTAGTTACAAGGCAGATATTTTAATGTATAATTAAGCTCTAAGCACAATGCCTCTTGGAAAAAATATCAAGATAAAAGTTTAATTAAAATTCAGTTCATCCTCTCCCAGATCTCTTTAGAGCTTGGTCAACAAAAAGCTAGTCTAAGTTGGAGGTTGTGCAATTCTTGGTTTCTTCCTTCTTCCTTTCTTTCTTTCTTTCTGAAAAAGAGAATGGAATGTTTATTAAAATATATGTTCTGAAAGCTTAGGTGGTAAGTTCCATCATGGCTGGAGGGCAGCCAATGAGAGGGCCTCTCTGTTCCCTTCCTGCATAATGATATATCCCTAGCAGTAAACAGTGATTGGGCAAGAGGGTGGAAGCAGTTAGTTTGAGTGTGCAAGCCCTTTGCATGGCTAAAAGTGTTCCAGATAAAACAATGAGGTATTTCTGAAGAATTCAAAGACTGTGATTCTTCTTCTTGTTTTAAGTTATATGAAGTTGGAACATGATAGGATAGCAAGCTTTTCCACCAGAGCAAAGAACAGCAACATAACTGCATGTTCAAAATGTTTGACAAGCACACCAGTTTTTGAGAAACTGCTTTTCTGTCTCTGCTGCTGTGTGCAGTGGGAACTAGCAGACCCTCCAGACCATTGTCTCAACGTACCCAGGGCTCATCCTCCCACTCACTTGGCCTGTACTCTGTATCCTGTACCAATTAATCCCCCATGGTTCAAGAGTTTTTCTCTTCATTTTGTGGGTGTGCCTTGCAAAAATCCAATCTTACCCACTGAATCAGAATCTTACCAGATGCTCAGAAAATCCAAAGAGGGGTTTGGCTTAAGTGAGCCTCAATTCAGCAGGTAAGGTCGGATTTTTGCAAGGCACAACTGCGGAACAATGAGAAAAGTTCTTGGACCTGCATGGGGCAATTAATTGGTACATAATGCAAACAAAACGTGGATGAGCCCTTAGTTGGGTTCCTTGCACAGCCTCGCATGTGTGGTGGAAGTGCTTAGACGTGTGCACGGACCTCTTTGGGTCCCAGCCCAAAGTGTGTTTTGTAATTGTGTGTTTTGTTTCATCTCCCTCTCTATGAAGCAAAAGGCCTGTTTTGGTTCTTCAGAATGAAACGCTCTACTCCCAGAGGCGACCCTACACCAGCGAGGACGAAGCTTGGAAGTCCTTCCTTGAAAACCCTCTTACAGCAGCTACCAAAGCCATGATGAGCATCAATGGGGATGAGGACAGCGCTGCTGCCTTGGGACTGTTGTATGACTATTACAAGGTAACAACATTGGCACTTGCCTAGGACTCGTAAAACAGGCCAGCAGAGTGTGCTTTGTTGTTTCACATGCCTTCCTTAAAGGGGAGAAAGGCCATGCCTTTTACCACTTAGCTGGGAACATGATACAGCTGCTTTTGTAGTGGCTACAAATAATAAAATAGCAACTTCTGGTTAGATGACTCAAAAAGGAAAAACAAGTATTGGATAAAGTAACTTTTCCAGTTTTATAAGCAACCTGTTCTGGAATCTCTCTTTAACAGGGCAAGGCGTTGGTAGTAGTTGGCATACTTTGCTTTTGGGTTCTCTCTCTCTCTCTCTCTCTCTCTCTCTCTCTCTCTGTGTGTGTGTGTGTGTGTGTGTCTTCCCTTTTCAGTGATGGCCATTGAAACAGATTGGCAGGGAAATGCTCCTTCACACAACATGTGATTGATTTATGGAATTCCCACAGCCATACAATAACATTGAAAGCCGAACTGCCCCCCTTTAATGCTCTTAGACATATTCATAAAGGACATGCTCTGTGTGTAGCACCGTATTTCAGAGGCAGCAGGCCAGTTACTGGGGGCAGAGGCAGAAGAGGGCTCTTGCCTCCATCCTGCCCTGCTTGTGGGCTCCCAAAGAGGCATCTGATTGGCTGGTGTGGAGAAGCAGGCTGCTGGGGTAGATGGTCTGTTTGGCTCATCCATTAAAGCTGCACTTACATTTTGACTTGTCCGTGCCTAAATTGTAGTATATCTCCTGGGAAATGAGCCCCTAATTCTTTGTCTTTTCAACCCACCTTCCTTATAAACAACTGCTGAGCTCTGGAAGGTTTCGTCATTCTGGGTTTTCCTTTAGTGGATTAAATGGAAGAGGTGCTAACCTGTTAGAAATGTAATGTATCACTTGGTTAAAGCTAAGCTGATGTGTGGAGTTCTCTTCTACCAGATGCAGCTGCAGCTGCGGCCAAGGCCCTTTTGAATTAAAGTTGCCATCAGGGACAGCCTTTTGAGGAGCAAATCAGTACCCTCTGTTTGCTCACTTCTTCCTTTTCCTCTTCATTGAGTCAGGAGAGAGTCTCCAAGCGTAATCCTCCTTTGCCTTGCTCTGGTAGCTTTGCACTGTCTTGTGCTTTGTACTAGAGATAAGTAGGACTCCAATTCCCATCAAACCCACCACCACCAGCAATAGTCATTGGTCAGGAGTGATGTGGGTTGCATTGCCAACAACATCTGGAGGGCCACACGTTCCCCCACACCTGATTTATGTAGAATTGCAGCAGTTATCAGTATGTGTACCCAGTGCCATGTGTGTGCCTTTTGACTGACCAGAGCATGTCCCATTTGGAATGCCCCATTCTCTTCCTCTTTCCAAGCATTTGAGTGCTTCCCAGTTCCAAAACTGGGGGTGGGAGAGCATGGCCCCTCACCCTTGGTTGGCCAGGTGAAGAAATAATCATCATCATAATAATAATTTATTTATACCCCACCCACTCTGGGTTGGGTTTCCCCAGAAACTCTGAGCGGCTTCCAACAAAATATAAAAAATACAATAAAAGATCAAGCATTAAAAACTTCCCTAAACAGGGCTGGTTGGGTTTCCCCAGCCACTCTGGGCGTCTTCCAACAAAATATAAAAAATACAATCAAAGATCAAACATTAAAAACTTCCCTAAACAGGGCTGCCTTCAGATGTCTTCTAAAAGTCATATAGTTGTTTATTTCCTTGACATCTGATGGGAGGGCATTCCACAGGGTGGGCGCCACTACCGAGAAGACCCTCTGCCTTCAAAAAGAGCTCCTTCAACTCTTAATAGCTATGTAAGCGCCCGAATTCATAGAACTGAGGGGACATGGAAAGACTGTTAATTATGAGCTCCAGGGCAACAGAGCCTCATGTTAACAGTGGTCCCTAAAACTAGTGTCGCCCACTACAACATAGAATAAGAATAGAATATCAGAGTTGGAAGAGACCCTGAGCATCATCTAGTTCAACCCCCTGCAATGCAGGACTGTGTTGCCGTCCCGTACAGGGATTGAACCTGCAGCCTTGGTGCTATCAGCACCACACTCTAACCAACAGGCTCAGTTCTGTGCTTTAATATATGCTTGCTCTGAATACCCCAAAACCAGTCAGACTGGCTATAGGACTCGAGGGGCTACTGGTCTGATCCGTCAGTGTTGTTGTCCAACCGCCACCAGCTCTTAGCTTGTAAATAATAATAAAAAAGCTTTCACAAGCCTTTCATAAGAAGAGTTGGGCAACAAGAGAAACTTAGCTTCGCGGCTGTGGGCCTTGGAAGCCTCCTTAACAAGCACGCACTCATCTCTGAGCAAGGAAAGGTATCACCCTCAAGCTTTTCTACAGACAAATCATCGTGTTAAGGTTGAGCTCCTACCTACTAACTGGGTGTGTTTGCATTAAATGTTTTCTTTTTGTGCTTTGTGTGGGTGTAAAGAAAAACAAAGCCAAGCAGACAGATTAAGTTGTAATAAGTTAGTAACCACATTTTAGCTTGGCACGTCTTCCATACCTCCCTGCTCCATTTGGGAAAATCCAGGGGGGGAAATCAGTGGGTTAAGGAATGCTGCCCTTTCTCTGCTTGCCCTACTTTCTTGTAAATGCCACCCTGATCCTAATTAGCATTACAAGCCAAAGACAGGTTTTGGAAATACGATTCCCACCCCCCACCCCCTTTTAATGTGCATGTCCACCCCTAATGTGTGGGCCAATGTGATGTAGTGATTCAAGTGTTCAAAGCTCCACTTGGCCATGAATGAACATCACTTGGGTCCCCATGGTGCAGTCACTGCCTCTTAGTCTAATCTTCCTCACAGGGTCCTTTGGGGAATACATAAGACAGTGGAGGACCAGGTACACTGCCTTGAGCACCTTTGGAGAGAGAAAAAAGGCAGAATATAAATGCAAGAAATAAATAAATGCAAAGAAGGGTTTAGCTTGGATGCGTAACATGAGAATTTCTGAAATGTGTAAATTACCAATGAAAGATCCACATTCTGAAAATTGCAGCCCTTACTTAGAACCCTAGAATTGTATAGTTGGAAGGGATTGTGAGGATCATCAAGTCCATAGCTGTCAACCTTCACTTTTTTTGTGAGACATTCCCTTATTCCAGCGCCATTTCCGGCTGCTTCCTGCTGCTATCCTGGATTGTTAGATATCCCGTAGACTGTCCCTGGGACAGGTGAGGCTGCTGATCTCTTATTTTTGAGGCTGCTGATCCCTTGTTTTCAAATCTGATCAAGTCCAACCCCCTGCAGTGCAGGGATATGCAGCTGTCCCGTACGGGGATCGAACCTGGAACCTTGGTGTTATTAGTTATTAGCTCTAACCAACTGAGCCAGGCTGACTTCATGGTTGACTTGCAAGGGAGCTTACACTTTCGGTTCTGTGCTCTTCCACTGCCCACCACCCTAAACATATGCAGCATTTTAATCTCTGTCTCACTCAGATTTGCTAAGCTTGTGCCGGAAGCCATTTACTATAGCATTTAAGAAGTTTTCATCAGCTACACTGTCATTTACGTGGTGCGCATTTGCCAGGCAAAATGTTTAAATGCAAGGGTGTTGCTGATACAGCATATTTCAGAGCTGGAGGACGTCGAGCTAATTCCACCTCATGTGAAAATTAGTTTGTGAATCTAGTCTTCAAAGTAGAAACTGGCAACTGTTGAAATTATGGTTTCTGCTTATATACTTCACGCTTTATTTGTTTCAACCAGCCTTTAAGCCAGTGTTTCTTAAGAGGGGAGGAAAACGTGTGATGTTTGCATTATTCGGAAGCATTTAGCAACTTACAGATACAGGAATGAGCAGAATTTGAAATACAAGCAGTGGTAGAAAATTGATAATATATTAAACAGAAGAATGTCTTAGGTGAAATGTTTATTAGAATACAGTATGTAAATGGGATGGGATTAAGAATAGCATGGAGGGAAAGATGGGAAGTCAAAGCTTAAAGAGAAATGCATAAAAGATTTGGAATCTGGAATTCATATGTAAAGATTTTAAAATTTAATTAAAAAATTGACTCCCCCATCCAAAAAAGGGGGGGGGTGAGAGCTTGTTCTTTAAAAGGGAAGGGTTGTACCCAGAAATGTTTCTCTTGGACTAGACCCATTGCAGTCAGTGGATAATTGCTTTCAATGGGACTACTTTGAGCCTGACTTAATCAAACGCAACCCAGGCTTTGGAATAGAGGCATGGAGGAAAGAGTTAGAATTTTGGAAGTTTACGTGATGCTTTGCCACGATGATCCCAAACCTGTTTGGGAAGCAGTTCTGCGACTTCCAACTCATCTTTTCTGCTAGGCTTGGGACACAAGGTAGAGGAGATGACGAATCAAGTTATTCTCCGCAGACAGTTGCAAAGCCAGAATCAAAAAGCCTGTGCTTTTAAATAATATCAGCAGTAGGTAACATATCTCTTGTCTTTCCCGTTGCTACTTTGTGGTAATGCTTTGAATTAAAAGAGAACTTGCTTATATAATGTTCTCCTACTAGGTTTCAGTTCATTATTTTGTGTGTTGTTGTTTTTTGTACTTGAAGGTTCCCCGGGAAAGGAGAACGTCAGCAGTGAAACCAGATGTAGATCATTCTGACCAAGAACATGGCAAAAGGTTCAGTATTCAAACTTGAAATGTTTTTTTTTAAAAAAAAAGAAAGTAAGAAAGAAAGATAGTTGGAGGCAACAGCATCTCGAAGGCCAGAGGTTCCCCATCCCTGCTCCTCAGGTATCACATGAATGAAGTTTGGCCAACGGTATCCACTCTTGTCCTTGCCTGGTGGCAGGCAGAGCAAAGTAAATAGAGATGAGTAGGTCCATGTTGGCAGGCCTGACCATTCACAAGAGGAGAAGCACTAGAATGCCTAGAGTCCTAGGAGTTCTCTTTGTGGCCAGGAACCCTGTCAGTCAAGGTAAAAAGATCATAGAGCTGCTGTGGAAGATGCAACGTAACTTGAAAAGTTGGAGGTGCATGATGAGTTTCAACTGCCTCTTTTCTTGATAGCTCCAGGTTGCCACAAATTTATTAATAATACTCCCATGATGGAAACACATATATTGGAAAGATGTTGTTCTGCCTGTTCCTTTGTGGAATGTACCTATTGATGGGGATGTCTTCAGCCTAGGCTTGGAAAGCCATGGCTGCACATCAATGGCATGATTGTTTTTACGGTAGCTTGTGAATGGAGTCAAGGCATTGGAAGACAACTTAAAAGGATAGACTGTTCATTTCCCTTTACTCTGTCTGGTCCACATCTACTCACCCAAAATGGGTTGGCTCACGTCATTCAGATTGTAGTGAGGTAACGGCAGGGAGCAGGCAGGTCTGTGCTAGAAACAGAGTTGCTGAAGGATGAGGGGAAAACCCGACACCTTTACAGGTAATGATTTCTCCAGTACTGGATGTATCAGAATTATTGCATCATTATGTTGATGCGTAAAATGCACTCCATGTGAATTTTAAAGCTATTTATGTGAATAGTCTTTGGCTGCACACATTTTATTCTGAAATCAATGGAGACTGAGTACTTGCATTTTGTACATTATCCACACACAATCTAGTTTTGTTGCATTGTTGTTGTTTTTTGCCCATCCTGAGAAACTGGAAATAAAATTTCATTGCAGATTTATTCTGAGTTACCCTGCAGTGTGTCCATTTGAAAAGAGATGGTCCTGGTAATTGGGGTGGGGGTTGCATCCATGCATATCCAGTGATGTTGTGGGTCATACCAAGATGGCAATCACCACTTCCTTCGTTCACCCGGGGCATGTGCCTGGAGGAAAAGGCACGAATAACATAATCAACGGGGAGGGTTTTCAAATGTGTATCAAGTAATTATACATGGCTTCGTGGATGGCAGGATCTAGACTAAATCAAGATTGAAAGCAGCATGTTGAAGAAGAGCATTAAAGATTCTGGATTGAGAAAAGCTACGGTTTTTGTGCTACAAATGCGTTGGTGTGTATGCAGCCGTTCTCTCACCAGAGTATAACCAGAACAAGAAAGCTCAGTGGAGAAAAACTCAAAGGCAACTGAACACTGGTGAGGGCTCATCATTAAGTCTACCTAGTGGCAGTGAAGGCAGCAAAGAAGGCAGACTTTGCTGCTCCATTGCGTCCACATGGTGCTGTCCAGCAGAGCTTTTCCGGGTAGTGCAGGACCATTTATAGTCTGGCCTAAAGGAGGTGGCAGAACTGACAGTAGTTTGCTGTGACTTGTTTGCAAAGCATTTTGAGGATAAAATTGCTTGCATCCGCCAGGACTTGGACTCCACTGTTGAATCTCGAGAGGTTACCCAGAGTACTGTCTAGTCCTGTTACGTTGGATGAGCTTCAGTTAGTAAGGCTTGAGGATGTGGACAAGGTGCTTGGATCAATCAGGGCAACCACATGCTCTATGGACCCTTGCCCCTCTTGGCTCATAAGAAAAACTAGCAGGGATGGACAGCTGGCTGGGTCAGGGAGGTGATTTACGGCTCCCTGCAAGAGAAGGTGGTCCCTGCCAGCTTGAAGGAGGGAGTAGTAGAATCATTCCTCAAGAAAAGCCTCATTGGATTTGGAAAATCGAAGTAATTATTGGCCAGTTGCCAATCTCCCCTTATTGGGCAAGATTCTTGGGTGGGTGGCTGCAGATCAGATCCAGGCGCTCTTGGAGGAAACTGATTTTCTAGATCCAGTTCCACTGGGGTTTAGGCTCGGTTTTGACACAGAAACTGCTTTGGTCGCCCTGTAACTCTGTCAGAAGAGAGACAGTGGAAATGTGTGCTTGTTAGTTCTTCTTGACCTCTCAGTGGCTTTTGATACCACTGGCTATAGCCTTCTGGAGAGGCCGTCTGAGTTGTGGGTGGGTGGCACTGCTTTACAGTTGTGCCAATCTTACTTGGATGGTTGTTTCCAGAGAGTGATGCTCTTTGGCCCTGTTAAGCCTTCAACATGGGGTTCATCAGGCTTTGATTTTATCCCCTATGCTGCTTATATCTATATGAAACCGCTGAGTGGGGTCATCTGAAGTTCTGGAGTATGTTGTCAGTAATGTACTGATGACACACACCTCTGCTTCTTTGTATCTGCAGGTGTGGCAGTAGATGTGCTGGACTGTTGTCTTGCCTTGGTAATGGCCTGGATCAAAGCCAGTAAACTGAAGCTCAATCCAGATAAGGCTGAGGCACTGTTAATGGGTGGTTCCTTATACCAGATGGATGGAAGGTTGCCTGCTTTTGATGGGGTTACATTTCCTTTGAAGTGGCAGGTACACAGCTTGGGGATACTTCTGGACCCCTTGCTGTCACTTGAGGCTTAGGTGGCCTTGGTGGCATGGAATGCCTTCCATCAGCTTCAGTTGGTGGCACAGCTGTGCCCCTATGTGGACAGGTATAGCCTTACCTCTGTCATCTGTGCTCTGGTAACCTCTAAGTTAGATTATGCAATGCGTTATACGTAGGGCTGCCTCTGAAGATGGTTTGGAAACTGGACCTGGCACAGAATTCAGCAGCCAGGTTGCTCAATGAGGCAAGACAGTTGAGCATATAACACCAATACTGACCCGACTGTACTGTCTGCCAATTAGTTTCCGGGCCTAATTCAAAGTGCTGGTTTTGACCTTTTTAAGGCCTTAGACGGCTTAGGACTGCAAAACCTCTAGGACCGCATCTCACTGTACAAACTGACCTGGATCCTACAACCATCGTCTGAGGCTCTTCTTTATATGCCTCCTCTGCAAGAGGTCTGGAGGGTGGCAACATGAGAACAGGCATTTTCTTCATTAGCTCCCTATTTGTGAAATGCTCTCCCCAGGGAGGGTAGCCTGGCGCCTTCATTACATACATGCATCTTCTCCCAGACCTTTGGCTAACTAAACAATCCATAGCCTTTTAAACTGGGGTGGGTGGGTGTGTTACTGTTTTTGTTTGTTATTATGGTATGTCTTTTTGTGTTTTTATATTGTAAACCGCTCTGTGATCTTCGGATGAAGGGCAGTATAGAAAGTTAAATAAGAATAATAATACACTGGGAAACCCCAATGTATGATCTGAAGGCACATGAGGCCATCATCTTGCTGAAGTTAAGCAAATCCAGTGCTTGGATTGGGTACCTGCGAACCTCATGCATGCTGCCTTGGTTCCATGATGGAAGATATATGGGGTATTAATGCAGGGCTGGCTCAAGACATTTTGGCACCTGAGGTGGGCCCCCAAATGGCACCTGGCTCCTTGCCAGGGAAGAAGCCATGAAGGAGAGCTACACCAGGAACAAGGAGGGAAGGAAGATTGACATTGGAATCTGCTGCCCTGGTGGATTCTGCCGCCTGAGGCAGTCACCTCACTTTGTCTCATGGGATGGCCGGCCCTGTATAAATGTAAGACGGGGGAAATCCTTCCCAGAGAAGGGAGCTGATATGAGGCAAGCTTGGGTTCCAGGGCCTGCCATTTTAGAAATTTTTTCCGCCTCCCACTCCCAAGTGCTTAATCTGCCACCTCTCATTTGTTTAGGAACTGTATACCGAACATGGCGGAACAGTCGCTCATTTCTGCTGGGGAAAACCGAGTGCAAGTCTTGAAAAACATGCCTTTGAATATCGTTCTTCCGCACACTTCCCAGATGGGTGTTGACAAGCGGGGCCACCTGACTACTCCGGACACGACTGTCACGGTCTCCATCGCATCCATGCCCACCCATTCGATCAAGACGGAAACTCAGCCGCACAGCTTTACAGTGGGCATCCCTCCAGCTGTCTATCACCCAGAGGCACCTGAGCGGGTGGTGGTTTTAGACAGGAGCCTGAGTGCTGACCAGTTTAGCTCCAGCGCCCAGCCTCAGAATTCCCAGCGCCGTACTCCGGATTCCACCTTCTCAGAGTCTTTCAAAGAAGGCGTGCAAGAGGTACAGAAACAACGTGCCTCTTTTGCTGAGCATGCTCTGTCCAGCACTTGACACATTGAGGGTGGCTGGGTTTGCCACGGGAGCACAAAAAAGCCACAGGCTGCAGTGTTGAGCTGCAGAAATGTGGCTTCTGGAGCATCTTGAAAGTAAATTGTTAAGGTTGTGATCCTGTTGAATTCCATAGAACTTTCTAAATAGGCATGCACAGGGTTGCACTGCAATTTACAGTGGAACCTTGGTTCTCGAACTTAATCCGTTCCGGGAGTCCATTCGACTCCCAAAACTGTTTGAAAACCAAGGCCTGGCTTCTGATTGGCTGCAGGAGCTTCCTGCACTCAAGCAGAAGCCACGTTGGACGTTCGACTTCCGAAAAACGTTTGCAAACCAGAACACTTACTTCCGGGTTTACGGCATTCAGCAGCCAATTTGTTCGTCAACCAAGCCATTTGAGAACCAAGGTACCACTATACATGTATTTAAGAAAAGCAGCTTTTGAACCCTTAATGCAGTGGTGGAGATCCATTTTTCAGCCTCAGGGCCATAGGCTATCATGGGTGGTTTTCTGGGGGGCTGCATATCAGTGGTGGGCGGGGCCTGAAGCAGAAGTGGGCGGAGCAATGTACAAGAATCGTTTCTTCATACAGTAAACTAAATTCGGTTCGTGCAAAAGCCAGAGCTTTCACTACATGCATACTCATGTGCAAGGCACATGTTCTCTCACATTCTCTCTGTCTCTCTCTCTCTCACACACACAACCTTCCATCCAGGCAAGAAAGAGGCATTTCAAGGACACATTCCAGCCAGACAACAGCATTCAAAAGTTGCAGGACAGAGTAGTGGGTGTCACCTGGGCGAAAGCCCTTGGAGCCAAATAAGAGATGCCTGAACGGCTGCATTTGCCCCCTGGGCCAGAGGTTCCCCACCCAGTTTGCAGATAGATTCAAAGCAGTTTGGTAGACCTTGGCTGACAAACCTCTGAAGTCAGAGCAGTCGATGAATAATATATATTTTTCCCCAGTGGCCTTCTCAGTTACTAGCAAAAGCAGAGTAAATCGTGTCGGGTAGTAAAAACTTTGAAATAAATTTATGCTGAATAAGGCATCATGCAAATTCGATTTAGTTTATAAAAACTAAATAAATACAGGCGGCTCACGTAATCACAGAAAGTTTGACCTTTTTCTTAAAAGTCCAGAATGCCTACAAGTCCTGCCGATAAATAACTATTGCATCCCTTCTTCCCCTTGCCCCTCTGATTTAGCGCACTGCTCCTTAATCTGTGCATGGGTATCAGGTTCTCTTTAATTCTTATGTAAACCTGAAATATCAATCCGGTGGATTAGAAATAGAAGATTTTCTCAAAGGCCTGTGGGTGTAATGTACTAAATTTAAAACAAAAGCAACCACTATAGAATGCGAAATCACTAGCAAAAGCACATGGCTCATTTTACAGGGCAGAGAGAGAGCTCCTTCAGCTTGAATGTGTGGTAATGATATCGGCACGGCAGGAATATGTACATGATCTGTGTGTGTGTGTGTGTGTAAAAAAAAAGTGTGCTAAATGCAGCATCACAGAAAGAAACAGCTGTGGACCTAAGCGTAAAACCCTCTAAAACTCAGAATACCTTGTTCAAATGTCAGAACTGGAGCTAAGCTTTTTCTTCTTATAGGGCTCTTGAAAGATATTGGAAATGCCGCACTTTGAAAGTGTGAAAATCAGCTTTTTCCACAGTGCCCTGCCTTGTGCTGGCCTAGTTTTTTCTTTCCCCCACCCCTGGTGCACATATTAAGTGGACGGCAGTAAACATGCCAAGTTAAAGGGCATGTTAAACACTTCATTAATGATAAATTTAGGACTGGACCACTGTTGTTATTATTTTTTTAAACTGCCAACTATGCTTGAAACAATTATTAATACTTTCAGGTTTTCTTTCCTGCCGAACTGAACCTCCGGATGGCCGGCATGAATTCTGAAGACTACGTGTTTGAAAGCATTGCTGGGTAATCTCCTATCCATTAGATCCAACTGTTGTGAAATTCTCTACCTCCCTCTCTGGCGCACAGTAGGGCTTGACTTGGCACGCCCTCAGTATTGCTCTGCCTTCTTGCTTACGCTCTCTGCTCATGCTTGTGGAATGGAAGACGTGAACCCCGTGGGTGGCAAGCTGAGTGGATGATCACCTGGACTTGCCTAGGTTTTAGTGTTATTCCCTGACATGTTGCACTGACTGCTGGGCTGAGTACACAGCCATACATTTAAAGCACACGACTTCTCTCAGGATTCTTTGGGAGAAGCCATGTGCTTTAATTGTATGTTGTGTGCAGCCTGGGTTTCTGCTGTTTGAACCTCGAGCTCAGGAGAACTAGCATACCCGCCACCATTTCCCCAATGAAAATACGGACATCATGTTCCATCATCATCATTTTATTATTTATATGCCGCTGAGATGAGCTTGGGCAAGTCACCGTCTTGTCCTATCCTACTGCATGGGTATGTTGTGATTGGTGATGATAACAGGATATTGCCCCATGTACACCAGCTTGAGCTCTTAGAGCATGGTGTGAATTTGGCTGATAGACAGATAATCGCCGTATGCCTGCTCAGAAGAGATTTATAGGGTGTAAAAGCATAACTCATAAAGTGTCTATAAAGAGAGAGCTTTTTAACTTACCCTTTGTTCCCCCTGCCCAATATCTTTGAATCATGATTTGCTAGTCCTAAATAAACAGATGTCATGATTTAGAATGCCATTACACTAAAAAGTAGCATTTGTGTACACTTTTGTTTATCTGTTATGTTCAGATTCTTTCCAGATATAATTGGCTCCTAAGGCTTCCCCCTTCTGGTTTTTCAGGAACAACTTCGAATACACACTGGAAGCTTCTAAATCGCTTCGGCAGAAGCCCGGAGATAATACAATGACGTATTTAAACAAGGGCCAGTTCTATCCCATTACACTGAAGGAGATGAGTGGTGGTGAAGGAATCCATCAGCCCATCAGTAAAGTTCGAGTGAGTTGGCACACTAGGAACTATGTGGGAGGAGAAGCTGGCAGCAGTGGCGGGCTTTGGGCTCTTAAATTCCGACACTAAAATTCACCCCCAGGCCTTTCACATTCCATTCTGCAGTATTGTTGTGGCACCCCCTGCAGTGTGGCATCTAGTGCGGCCGAACCAGTCGCGTGCCCTAAAACCACCTCTGCTGTAAGTGCAGTGAAAAATTTTAGGAGTCCAGCGGAAGTAGTCAGCGATGTTCCCAAAAGGGTGTGCAGTGATTCTGGCAGTAAGCTAGGCACAATGTTCTGCATCAGCTGTAGTTTCCAGTCATTTTCAAGAGTGAAGAGCATATTGCAGTAACCTAATTTAAACTTGATATTGCAAATATGCACAATGGGTTGTAATCAGTTAAGCCAGATATTTGGAGTAGACTTGAAATCAATGGGCTAAAAGTAGGAATGGAGGAGAAATTATATTCAGTTCACACTGAAAGAAAAAAACCAAAAACCTACCTGTGGTAATTTGCAGCTTCCAAAACGACTTGAGAACTAGCGATCCCTCAAAATTTACTCTTCTTTAGATTTTGCAATAGGGACGCGGGTGGCGCTGTGGGTTAAACTACAGAGCCTAGGACTTGCTGATCAGAAGGTCGGCGGTTCAAATCCCCGTGACGGGGTGAGCTCCCGTTGTTCAGTCCCTGCTCCTGCCAACCTAGCAGTTCAAAAGCACTTCAAAGTGCAAGTAGATAAATAGGTACCGCTCCGGCGGGAAGATAAACGGTGTTTCCGTGCGCTGCTCTGGTTTGCCAGAAGCGGCTTAGTCATGCTGCTCACATGACCCGGAAGCTGTACGCCGGCTCCCTCGGCCAATAAAGCAAGATGAGCGCCACAACCCCAGAGTCGGTCACGACTGGACCTAATGGTCAGGGGTCCCTTTACCTTACTAGATTTTGCAATATAGTTCTCCAGCCAAGTAATGTGTAAATATACTGGGGGGAAGTATACATTAAAAATGCACATGTTAGTGAAAATAACGTACCCCAAAATGGATTCTACTTGAGGAAATTTCTTCGGAAAAATAAGTATATTGGATAAAATTGCATATGGATGTGTCTATTAGGAGAAATCTGCATGAAAATGCTGGTGAATTTTCATGAAGCCTTTTAAAAAAAAATAAAAAATTGCAAAGTGATGTGGAAATGTGGAAAACGGAACTCAAAGATGGGAAAAATGAGAAACCGCAATTGGCCGAAAGTCACGACAAAAGTCCACTGATTTCAAAGGGTTTACATTGTGTATGACTTAGCTGAATGCAACCCATTTAACTGAATGCACACCTATGGGTTATTGGGATTCGAGTTTGCTTTGTTTCTTCTCCTTATTTTATAAAAGAAGAGCTACCACACAGGAATGGAGTCACCAAGTCAGCTTACCCCCAAAGGCTCCTCCCCGCCCCCCCGGCTCATTTATTGCCAGTGCATTTTAATTATTTGTTCAGTGGCCAAATAAATCAACCAGGTCCCTAGTTTCTCTCCGTATTTTTGGTGTTGCTTTGAATGCCATTGGATCAAGGGGTAGCTCTGGCACTTTTCCGACTCTTGCTCCCACCCTCTTAATGGTCAGGGAAATTCTTTTCACAAGCCCACCCATGTGGGCAGATTTTGTGAAGCTAAATAGCAAGTTGTTGAGCAAGGATGGGGAGCCTGTGGTCCTTAACATTGGGCTACAGTTCCCATGGGACGCTGGTGGCGCTGTGAGTTAAACCACAGAGCCTAGGGCTTGCCGATCAGAAGGTCGGCAGTTCGAATCCCCTTGACGGGGTGAGCTCCCGTTGCTTGGTCCCTTCTCCTGCCAACCTAGCAGTTTGAAAGCACGTCAAAGTGCAAGTAGATAAATAGGTACTGCTCCGGCGGGAAGGTAAACAGCGTTTCCGTGGTTCGCCAGAAGCAGCTTAGTCATGCTGGCCACATGACCTGGAAGCTGTATGCCGGCTCCCTCAGCCAATAAAGTGAGATGAGCACCGCAACCCCAGAGTCGTCCGCGACTGGACCTAATGGTCAGGGGTCCCTTTACAGTTCCCATAATCCTTCACCACTTCTGAAAGGCCACTGGTTCTGCACCCCTAGGAATTCAGAGGCATCTACGTATATCTGAGTAGCCGTGTTCGCACTTCAGCTTAAAAAGGCCGGCAGAATTGCCTAGATTAAGCTACCAGCTTAATAAACACTTTGCTTCCTTCCCTGTGAAGTGTCTTTGCCAAAGACCCTCTGGCCTTTATGTCAATTAAGCTCTGCTCTCTTTGAACCTGTCCCTCTTTTTCCTCCACTTTTGAAGAGTGTCATCATGGTTGTATTCGCCGAAGACAAAACCAGAGAGGATCAACTCCGGCACTGGAAGTACTGGCACTCTCGGCAGCACACAGCCAAACAAAGGTGCATTGACATAGGTAAGAAATCATCCCAGCTGCAGGTGCCAGGACAGCGCTTGGCAGGATTCAGTTCTCTGCTCACGTTCGTTCTTTTTACTGCACATGCCCAAGGCTATCTTTTGGCCACTGTTCAACGTGGCTTCAGTTCTTGTTCATTACAGTTCTTTGGTTGCACGAGAAATATTCTAAGCCATCCTAATATTTTGGGTGAGGGGGCAGCTATACAGCTCTGAACATATAATGGGGTACTTGCGTTTGGTTTGGTGGTGTTGGTTGGTTACCCAAATGGGTGGGTCAGCACTTATAAATCAAGATGTTCCTGGACTACAACTCCCATCCTCCTTGACCACTGGCCATGTGAATTTGGGCTGATGGGAGTCCAAGAACACATGGAGACCCCCACAAGTTAGCCACTCCTGGGCAATAGCATGCAGTGGGGGTTGTAAGGTTGCATAATCTTCCGTGACTGGTACAAATTGGTTGCTTTTAGGCCCGTTTTGGTGTCAATGATGCTATTTCTGTGTTGAGTTGCCTTTGGGGCTGCTGAAATCTGTTACGCTTGTTTTCTGTCTTCTGGTGGGAGCCGCAGACTTTCTGAACAGCCATTTTCTGAACTTTGATCATCCCCCCCACCCCACCTCCAAAAGAGAAACCCAACCCAACTGTCTGATTATATTCCTCTGTTTCTACCATCACCCTCCCGAGAAAGCGCAGTTCAGTTTTTAATTCCTAGAGTGTTTGGGCCTAGTAGAGGCTGCTTGTAGCTCATGCCCTGTGCTCCAGTGTCCCTTGGCCCTTAGTCCTGAACATGTGTAGATGAGTTGCGGTGACTCAAGGTAGAAGGGAAAGGCACTCTGCACATGGGCAAATCTGCTGTCGCTTATTACTCAGGTGTTTTGGAGGTGAGCTGCTGGTGTTGTTAAACAGGTTCCAGGAATGAGTTGAGTCCCTGGCACAACTCAAGCTACAGGTAGAGTTGGGGCAGGGAGATGAAAGATGGCATTGCAGATACCTGCTTGCCTACAGCTAAGCTGTGATTGGCCAGATTCCAGGTTCCTTTGGTTCAAGGTTGAGTTGCACTCCCAGCCCTTTCCTCCTGTGAATAAAAAGAGGGATTAATCACTTGGCACTTAAAGGCAGACGCACACGTAAATCTTCCTTTATTATTAAAGGGTGGTTTTTTTTATTATTATCAAGAGTATATATCCTTGTTATGCTGGGGTGACATTTCTCGTACAAAACCACAGGGCACGGCAAGGATAGCAGGTGCCACCTCTTTCCTTTTAGAACTTTATGTTTCATTTCCTGATTATTATTTTTTTGCTTTTTAAAAATAAAAAGAAAGCTTACTACAGAGATGCCCACAGGCAACAACTCTTGGTTGCTTTTTTATTGCTCTCCAGTACACCAATGTGCTTCCAAGATGGAAGAAAATAAATGACGCTATACTAGGCCTGTATGTAGCATCAATAGATTAACATACTATATTGTATGTGTGTTTTCTCTTATCAACAGCTGACTACAAGGAAAGCTTCAACACGATCAGTAACATTGAAGAGATAGCCTATAACGCCATTTCCTTTACTTGGGACATCAACGACGAAGCAAAGGTAAGCATTCAGGCTTATTTTTCCTGGCCCCCTTTCTTGTGTAAAAGGGGAGAAAGGAGGTGTATCTTAACATGGCATATCGTTAGATTTTTATTTGCTTTCTGCTTTTAAGAAATAGTTGCTGGAGCATTGCCAAAGTGTGTTTGAATACAAATAAAGTGTTTGTTGTTGTTTTTTAAAGTGGAGGGACAATCAGTATTGGGGATTGACGTGGCTATTTTTCAGTCTACCTTGCTGCTCCCAGCTCCCCAAATCAGTTTAATAGAAGGAAAGTGAGCAGGAACAGGAGAGTGAAACAGGCTCCTGCAAAAAGCAGAAATTACTTCAGCATGTTAGTAAATTATTACATAGAGACCTATGAGCTACCAGGTGCTTTTAGGGCTTGTTCTCACTGAGGAGACTGCCTGGCAAGATCTCAGACTGCTACACCTATTCAAACAGACGTCTTTCAGCCACCTAAGTTTAAACAGAGGTGTGTTTGCAGGCTGCAACTTGCAATCCTCTGCAAACGGCCCATCTCTTCTGTCAAAGTGTCATTTTGTGTCAGATTTACTAGTCACCTTCTTAGTCCCCCTTTGCTATGCAGACGTCACTAAACAGCACAATGCAGCCTTCGGGTGCTTGGTACTACAACTCCCATCAGCTCCAACCAGCACCGGGGGGGGGGTGGGTGAAGCCTTGTATAATGGACGTATTGCATTGGGAAAGTTTCCGCTTCATATTGTGGTGTGAAGCAGTTAAGTTAGACAACAAAATGGTCTTGGTCTGGCCCAGCTGTCTCACATTTTGGTGTCCGCCTCTAACACATCAGAGATGAAGCCGTTTGTCCTTTCTCTAGCACAGGCCCCCCCAAACTCGGCCCTCCAGATGTTTTGGGACTACAACTCCCATCACCCCTAGCTAACAGGGCCAGTGGTCAGAGATGATGGGAATTGTAGTCCCAAAACATCTGGAGGGCCGAGTTTGGGGGTGCCTGCTCTAGCAAGTCTGAGTGATCTAGGCAACCATTCAGAAGGGAGGAAATGGGGCGGGCTTTCACAGTTGAATTGGGCAGTGGACTCTTTAAAGGAAGGATTTGTGAGCAAGAGGAGGCAGTGATTCGGGGATGGGCAGTAGAATTTGTTCCAAACCTTTTATTGCAAAATAAGTATTCCCCTTTCACCATGTAACCCTGACGTGTTTATCCTTCCAACCCAAATGGCAGTGTTTCAGCACCTGATGCCTAAAATGGCATTACTTCGTGAAGTTGGTATCGGTTACCAACCTCAGAATCTAAAACGCTATAATCCTTTGGCAAACTAGCTCTTTGGGGCACTGGCAGCCATAGAAGCACATTTCCGCAGGTGACAATAGCTCCATTCAGTATGCTGCTTCATCTCTGCATCTTGCAAAGTAACCCAGTCATTCAAGTGTATCCTCGTGGTCTTCATGCTAAAGTGGGTGGTATTCTCCACACTACCCGGCCCCCTAAAAGGACAAGCAAACTGACACATCATGGCCAAGTCACTCACCTTGAGATCATCCAAGTCATTGGGCAGATTCTGAAAAGGAGGCTGCTACATTTTGAACCAGCAACATCAAAATTATGCAAAACAAAACTTATGAATTCTTTTTTGCATGTTGGTTGCATATGTGCAGATGTTTTATCCAAACCTACTCAATTTGCATATTCTAAATTGATGTCCTGGGTTTTTTGCAAACCACTGGGGAAGGAGGGAGACAATAGAGGGTGTTTAGATACACATCTAGGAGTAAGGACAGGTAGCTAGGTGATGTTTCCCAGTTCCTAAACATGGTCAGTATTTGTCAGCAGATTAGGGTTTGGGAAGTAAGTGACCAAGGACTACTGTATCTTACAGTGCATTCCTATTCTTGTCTACTCATGAGTAGAAATGAGTAAATCTCATTGTGTTCTGTGTGACTTACCCCCAAGTAAGTGGATATAGGATTGTTGTATTGGAATGGCTATACTTTAGTTTTCTCATGCAGCTTGCAGGCCTGACGGGGTAGATTCATTAGTTCCCTGTTTTCTTTTGGGCTTTCTTCTTAAGTGCAGTTGCATATTTCAGAAAATCATTATCCTGTAGTTCTTTTTTCTTTTTCTAACCCTCCCCCCACCTTTTTATTTATTTATACTGACCTAGTAAAATCAACAATGATTGTGATGCAAAAATGACCTATATACATTCTGGATTGCTATGCTTCCTAATTTATTTATCCCCCCCCCCTTTTCTGTGTGAATGTATTTGATGGTGGTTCTTGATCAGATTACTTGTAGACAGAGCAGCAATTCTTTCCCACTGCTCTGATCTTATCGGGAGGAGGCTTAGCCAATTTCAACAATTTTTATTGCATGGTTCATTTGACTTGCTCTTTCTTTCTTTCTTTCTTTCTTTCTTTCTTTCTTTCTTTTTTGACAAAGGCCTTGTGTGGTGCAGTACTGTACGGAACCCCTACTACATTTAGTGCCATGTGGATATCGATGGTGACTTTTTTTGCATTAAATGTTTTTTATGAACCAGCAGTACAGATCAGGGTTATATAATTATGATAAACTTCATTCAGTTTACTCAGAACTGCATGAATGTCTGATGATTTCCACCCCCATCCCAAAGAAACAGAAAGTGTGGGAACTAGTTTGGGAACAGAAAGATGAAGTATGATGTGAATCAGTTGGAAATTAAGGTTGGGGTGGCTCAAGGAAGGATAAGCGAACTAGGGTGAAATGAGAGTGTGTTTTCCTGTGTCCAAAGCTTGTATTGAGGCAAGCCAGATATAAATAGACATGGAAGCCAGTCAGCACTGTGACTCCTTCCTCTTCCCCTATGACACTCTTTGGGCTCACAGTAGAGGAAACCTGGCAGTGTCAGCATCAATGCCAACTGCTAAATGTCAGGCAAGGGAAGAAGCCTGCTCATAACCAGCCACAAACTTAATCCCTTTTTATTTCACCCTTAGCAAGCCAGTGATGTCCCTTTCTACGCCACCTCTGCAGTGAACCAAGTTAGAAGTTGAGGGCAAGGAAGAGGGTTCTATGAGTTGGTTTTGCATATTCCTTGTTGGCTGGACCATGTGTGCAATGAAGCTTCATTTCTTCATTTTCCTCCATTCAGTCTGAGAACGAGCTGTTAGGGCTCTGTTTCCTGTTGCCCTTGCTATCTGTTTGGATATTGCCACTCATCCTATAGGGAGGAGAGCCCATGCTAACTTTGCACAGACTCCCTTTCAGTTGCTTCTGGCAAAAATATAAAGGGCAAGCAGATAAGACAGCAAAAGGCACAATGACACAGCAACTCCACTGTCAGTTACCGATTGTACTTTAATTCAAAGTGTGTGGAGGGCCATCAGGCCATTGCAATCTAATAAACTCACAAAGTCAAGCAGCACAGTGAAGTGCTAAGAATACGGTCTGTTAAACCTTTTGCATATCCCATTTAGTATGCTTGCAAAGTGCTCCCCTCCTTCTACCCTTCTTGCAACAAACAGACCACACACACTGTTAAGTAAGTTTAAAATGATTTACTTACAAAACATTCCAAAAGTCAGATTTCATGCATTTATCCAAGCAGCAGCAGGGAAAACACAAGCTGAATGCTCTGAGGTAGAAAATACAGAATGATAGCTTCAAACATGTGCTCTAAGCTTGGGTCTTGTTTAGGTACATCTTCCGCGGTCTCCCTCACTGGAGAAGAGGGGGGCATGACCTAGCTGTGTCTAGGAACACAGCTCTATGATCTTAACCCCTTCTTGCACTAACTAGCACTCATGCATAGTTATGTTTGACTGCAATTTCCCACAAGATGTGAGACAGGATCTTCCCTGGTTCGAGTCGTGCCATGCTTATGAATTTTGTCATGTGGCATTCGGCAGGCCTCTTTTCCCTCGGCTTCAGCCCCACCCCCAAATAAATCTGTATATGGAATAATAATGCTGGCCCACCTTCCAGAGGTGGGAACCTGTTTCCCTCCAGATGTTGTTGGAATTCAACTTCCATCAGATCCCCAGCAAGCATGACAAATGGTCAGGGATAACAGAAGTTGTATTCCGCATCGCTACAAGTTCCTGATTCCTGGTGTAAGCATTACTAGGAGAATTTGTGGTGAAGAATTTTGAAAACCTTAAAATGCCATGTAAATAAAATACTAACACCGTTGTTATTCTGCTCAGTGTGCAACCAGAATATGTTTGGGTCTGTTCTCGAAGTAAAAGTCTATTTAAAGGAATCCCTCTCCCCGAAGGACTTCCCAAAGATAACCAAACAAAAGTAGCTTTATGCTGAAATGAAATCTATGAGCTCCCTATGTTCTAGTTGTGGGATTTTATGTTTTTGTTTAACTTGTTCCCTGAAGAACAGGTGTGCTGCTTCCTGCAATTTGACCCCCAGGTGTTTTTTGTGTTTTGCATGATGTGAATTTATTAGGTTAATAAGAGTAGTAGGTCATTTCTCATTTTCCTGGGCTGTGAGTGTTGCATGTAGCCACAGCGATGCCTTCTTAATGAAGCTTTTAGTCATGTGGCACTTTAAAGGAAGGTGTTGCCGCAGGTTTTGCCTGTCTTGAGATACCAGTTTGGTGAGGATGAAACTAAATGGGAGGCATGCGGATGAGTCAATCAAGCTTTAATGGCATTTGTAATGAGAGGGAGTGTAGCATTGACACCAGCAGTACAATCCTCTGCATGCTTCCCCTTTAAGTTCTCTGTTTCTGGGGCTCATTCCAGGTAAGAGTGAGTAAGATTGCAGCCTCAGCTTTCCCCCCCCTCCTTTGACTGTAGCTCCAAATCCTGCTTTGCATTATTAATTGCTTCGACTGCAGCTGCAGTCTTAACCCCATTTACCTGAGAGTAAGCATCGCTGGATTCAGTAGGTCTTGCTTCTGATTGGATGTGGTTTGGATTGCGGCGTAACATCTGATTCTTCTTCACAGTGTTTCAGGAACGCCACTTTTGCTGCTTATCCACAGTTCGTTTGCTCCATCCTTTAGTCAAATAAGCTTCATAAAATCAAGACACCTCTTGCCAACTCAGGCTTACAATCTTAAATTCATAAAAACCAAGGGAGAAATGAACGAGGAGGAAAAAGGAAACATTCTTAGGTGCAGCGTATAATTTCCAGCTGGCATAGGAGCCAACTCCTAGGGGCTGAGGTCTCTTTGCCCCCCATAAATTTTTTGAGGGGGCTGCTCCTGTTCCAGTTGAAGGGCATTGCCATTCAAATAGTATGCGTGCACTGCATTGTGTGGTCGATTATGTGGGGCAGGGCTTACCTGAGTCCCCCCAAATATTTTATCCAAGTTGGCACCCCTGCCAGCTGGAATGGAAAGAGTTCAAGGAGGGGGAGGAGCTAGATGGAACTGGTCTCCCCAAAGAGCCAATGGTGTGGTTGCTGCTGGGTGACGCTTAAGGGAAGGAATGGCCTGATGGAGCTGGCCTCTCAGGGGAACCAATGAAGCAGTCCTTTAGCACCACATCTACTTTCTACTGCATCTTCTGTCATCACCATCAATGAATCCTCAATCTAGGCAGATTAGACTTATGGCAAGGATGAAGAACCTGGTGCCTTCCAGGTGGAGAGTCCTGTATTGCAGGGAGTTGGACTAGATTATCCTTGGGATCTCTTCCAACTCCACAAATCTATTGTTCTATGATTAGGGCAGCTAATTGCCAGTCACTGCAACTGCCACTTGTTTTGGACAATTGTGTCTTTGTAAGCCATACTATGGTTGGTTCATTTGCCTTACCTGGAAACTGCTTGCTTGCCTGCCATTTTGTTTTTGCCAGCCTTTCCCGCAGGTTGGATTGCACCACCTGGTTTGGTGTCACCCGATCTTGCATTTGCTAAGTTGTAAAATATGCGCCCCAGTATGATGTGGTGTGAATTTTACAAATCAAGCCTTTCCTAATGTTATCAATTAATTAATAAATCGCCCAGGGTGGGTCACAACAATTTAAAATACCACGTTAAGAACAATTTTAAGCAAATTATATAAATCGTACATGATGAGATGACAAATCTATTCTCGTCTTGTCAGTTCATTCAAACTTAGACTATTGAGCCTGATCATCAGTGTGGGGAAAGAAAACATTTCTAAGGGAATGCACCAATTAATCAGCTAGGATAGCTCAAGCAGGAGAGCAGGAGACTCTTAATCTTGGGGTTGTGGGTTTGAGTCCCACGTTGGGCAAAGGATTCATGCCTTGCAGGGGGTTGTCCCTTCCAACTCTATGATTCTGTGATCTATAGCCAAATATGTGGCATGCTAATCTAGCACTATGAATGGTTGAGTACACTTAAATTTGGTCTGTGTGGCAGGTGCTATTCTTCCCCCGTGGTGTGCAGGGAACAACAATCCCCATTTCTTGGTTCCTGTGTCTGGAAGGTTCCCCCTTTTGTACCTATTTTTGCCTTGCTAAAATGTTGTCAGCGTGAGTTGCTGGAGTTTTTATTCTTCAGCTTTTTCTCCAGAGTGTTTACATCAGGGAAGGGGAACTTGTGGCTCTCCAGATGTTTTTAGACTGCAATTCCCATCATCTTTGACTACTGACCATTCTGGCTGGGGTTTAGGTGAACTGGATCCAATAGCCTGTTGAGGGTTGCTCTAGAGATTTAATCTTAGTTGGACATGGATGCTTGAATTTACCGCAAATCTATATTTAGCCCACACTTGCGTTATAAATGCATATGCATAAATATCATGGCCGCAATGCACAGTTTGCTGAGGTATATTTTGAAGTGTTAATACTGGAGGGTGGTATCTTGGATAGCCAATAATGCTATGAGACCTAAGAATGAGAAGCCTTGCACATGCAGGGACTTCTGTTTCTTCCTTCAGTGCAGGACAATGCTCTATATGCACATATGAATGCTACGTTGTGCACCAAGCATTTCTTTGTTCATGTAAGAGTCACTTTGTGTACAACGAAACAGGTACCCCAATACTTCTCTGCTACGTCTGTATTGGAAGGGCTCAAATCATGTAGATGCACGCTCTAATGGAAGCCCATCTGTAAGTCGCTGCTGCCTCCTTAAAATTTACATAGAGAATCCTGCTCAAAAACAACACGCACACTAAACTCTAATGTAGCCAAGAATGCAGAAGTGTCCTCTGAAAAAGGCTGTCAGAAGAGGAATCTTGCTCTACAGGCTGAAGATGTCCAACAACTTTTGCAGCTGTATATTTCTTTCTTCTGGCAGTTCTTGGGTGGGGAAGTATCTGGTGCAGTCACTCGCCCTCCTTTTCCTTTAAGACACAGATTCAGAGAACAATATGTCATTTTGGCAGCTTACGATCCCAGCCAAATGTTGTCTTTAGTTTTTGGAGAAGCAGAAAAGCAGCAATCTTAAATGATAGCTGAGATGAGGTGCTTTTAATAAGAAGGTTCTTAATAAGAAGCATAAAAAGGGTTAGCTGTACTTTGAGTAGACCCATTGAAATGACAAATGTAGGCCCAGTTATTTCAATGGGCTTGCTTCATAATAATAATAATCTTACTATTTATATCCAGCCCATCTGGCTAGATTTCCCCAGCCACTCTGGGCGGCTTACAGAATATATAAAACATAATAAAGCATCAAACATTAAAAACTTCCCCATACAGGGCTGCCTTCAGATGTCTTCTACAAGTTGTATAGTTCTTTACCTCCTTGACATCTGAAGAAAGGGCGCTGCTGCTGTGAAGGCCCTCTGCCTCGTTCCCTGTAACTTTGCTTCTCGCAGTGAGGGAGCCGCCAGAAGACCCTCGGAGGAGGACCTCAGTGTTCAGGCTGAGCGATGGGGGTGGAGACACTTCTTCAGGTATACTGGGCTGAGGCAATTTAGGGCTTTAAAAGTCAACACCAACACTTTGAATTGTGCTCAGAAATGTACTGGGAGCCAATGTGGGTCTTTCAGGACCGGTGTTATATGGTCTTGACGGCCACCCCTAGTCACCAGTCTAGCTGCTGCATTCTGGATTAGTTGTAGTTTCCAGGTCACCTTCAAAGGTAGCCCCATGTAGAGCGCATTGCAGTAGTCCAAGCGGGAGATAACCAAAGCATGCACCACTCTGGTGAGAGACAGTCTGCGGTCAGGTAGGGTCTCAGGCTACGTACCGGGTGGAGCTGGTAGACAGCTGCCCTGGACACAGAATTGACCTGCACCTCCATGGACAACTGTGAGTCCAATATGACTCCCAGGCTGTGCACCTGGTCCTTCAGGGGCACAGGTAAGCCACTGAGGACCAAGGAGTCCCCCACACCTGCCCGCCCCCATCTCCCAAAAACAGTACTTCTGTCTTGTCAGGATTCAACCTCAATCTGTTAGCCGCCATCCATCCTCCAGACACAGGACCTTCACTGCCTTCACTGGTACCGATTTAAAGGAGAGGTAGAGCTGGGTATCATCCGCATACTGGTGAACACCCAGCCCAACACTAATGACCGGCATTGGATTGTATAATCCAAACAGATGTTAAAAAAGAGAGAGCTGCTTTTTTCTCTAGGCCCCTTCCTTACCTTCTGCGCTTGTCTCCTTAGTTCATGCTTTTAGGGAGAGCCTGACTGAGCTAAAATTTGGGGAGGTTGGCGATAAGCTTGTGGATTTCATTAATGAGTCATCTGCCTCCAGTCCACCTCAGTTCAAGCACTACCTCAGGAAACAGACGCAGCAGCTAGGCTGCTTTCCCATAGCAGTTCTTCCCTGTTCTCACATCAGGAAACAGAATGTAATTGGGTTAAGAGTTCTAATTAAACACACAAAACTTCCTCATCAGAAGGATGGTGCTTTTCCAGATCATGGATGTAAGGTGTTCTGTTATGACACATGCAAGCTGGCTCAGTCCAGAGTTTCAAGTACAGAAAACAACTCCTCCCTTTGTGTTGCAAAGATGACAGCTAGTCAAATAAGTCCAGGAAGCCCCTATAAACAGGGCATGGAAGCATCAGCCTATTCGTCCTCAGCATCTGGTATTCTAAGGTATACTGCCTTACAAGATGGAGGTTCTATTTTGCTATTGTAGTTAGTAACTGCTGGTAAGCCGAATTCATGAGAAAGTAGGTCTAAATCCTCTTTGAAAGGCACCTGACCCATAAATTTGACCCACATAAGAGAGATTTCCATTTGTCTCTCCTGAATCTACAGCTGATTCATTTTCTTGGATGACCCCTGAGTTCTAGTGTTTGCTGACATCTTACTGCTTAAATTAAATAAAAAAACTGTCAGCACATTGTCACTGCCAGCTGCAAAAATTTCTAAGCCATTGTTGAAGGAAATATTACCTAGCTGTACATTTGACTTCCTCTTGAGCATGAGTAAAAGCTTTGATAAGCAAAACCAGCTTTTCAAAAAACAGCTTGCATGAAAGCTAGCGAGCTCATTAGACAGTAAGGTGTCACATTCATTAAAGGTGTTACATAGATAGCAATTGCTAATTAAAATGAAACCTGCATGTAGATCAGGTCTGATTAGAGTTGTCAAAGATAACTGGTTAGAAATCCATTTGGGGTGGGAACTACCTCTGGAAACAAGGGAGAAACTTCTGGCTCTCTCTGTGTGTTGTTCCCATCCATTGGTCTAGAAAATTACCTCAGATAATGTACTTAGGCCACAGGCAGGCACATTTGCCTTCTGGAAGCCCTGACGTCAAATCTATCTGGTGCTTTTGTAGGGTGCAAGTCATAAGTGAGTTCTTTCCACTCTAACACAGAGATGAGGTCAACTGAGGATGTGCCTCAAAACTTAGCTTTTGGACAAATGACACAGGGCTTTTTTGTCCAGCAGGAGGCACCATTGTCATTCTAAGAGAACAAGGGGGAAGTTCATGGTGAGCTCTGACACCTCTTTTTCTAGAAAAACAGTACTGCAATGTAATTTCTCACTGGAGGCCTGCTCCTTTTGGGGTTCCCTAGCATTTTTCGTGGGTTACTACTTAGTAGACCCACTGAAATGGATGGAATTAAGTCTACTGTTTTCAGTGGCTCGCTTTGAGCATGATTACCATCGCCCATCGTTAGGAAGAGAACGCCTTTTAGAATTGCAGCAGCTATTGTTATTTCCACTAGGGGTCAGTCATTCACCGCTGATCAGTTTTGATTTTCGCCTTGCTTTGAAGAAAACCAGCCTTTAGGTAAGAGGTGCAGCAAATCAAATTATTTTACCGCTTATTATTGGAGCAGTATCACTTCTCTGGCTCTGGTCTTGGTTGGGCAAGGGCATTTCAAGCGAGGAAGCAGTTGTAATGCTGAGCTATTAAGTTCATGTCATATCAACCCACAGTTAATGTGTGAAAGTTGTGGGTCTGAAATGGTGGTTCTAAACCCCTCGAGGGTACAGAGTGAAATAACATTTGGCAACCAGCAGAACAGGTATTTCAGGTTGCCTTTTCTTCTCTCCAACAAATATACATAAATATGCCTTTTTTAAAAGGAAAGACATACCGAAATTCTGCAGAACGTTTCTTCTGAGCAAAAGATCTGATTGGGGTTTCTTTTTTTGTACATGTATTCCTTGCTCTGCTGTAGTTGTGTGTAACAGCTAATGGTTCCAGATAGAGATACGGATGTCTATCCATGTTAAGGAACTAATCCTGGCAATGGGTTCACATTTGCCACTGTTGAAGTTAAGATGTGCTGACCACATCTGGAACTCAGGAGCGAAATCAAGGGCGTAGCGTTGAATCATGTGGCTTCCATCATATATAAAAACATATAAGGTAAAGGGGACCCCTGACCATTAGGTCCAGTCGTGACTGACTCTGGGGTTGTGGCGCTCATCTCGCTTTATTGGTTGAGGGAGCCGGCGTACAGCTTCTGGGTCATGTGGCCAGCATGATTAAGCCACTTCTGGTGAACCAGATCAGCACATGGAAACGCCGTTTACCTTCCCGCTGGAGCGGTACCTATTTATCTACTTGCACTTTGATGTGCTTTCGAACTGCTAGGTTGGCAGGAGCAGGGGCCGAGCGACAGGAGCTCACCCCGTCGCGGGGATTCGAACCGCTGACCTTCTGTGTTTGTTTTTTTTATAAGATATTTATTAAGGTTTTCAAAATATTACAAAATAAAAATAGAAAAAAGAAAAATACAAAATAAAATTAGTTAAAAACAATTCAATCTTTCCATTACTTATTTTTCATTAGCTTGTTTCCCGGACCTCCTCACGCCTCCCTTTTTTGTATTCCAGTTCAGTTTGTTGGTTCAGCAAATCCTTCCCCTCTTTGATTATCCTAATCTTTAATCTTAAAAATATTGTAACATTAAATTTTTACCTGTTTGTAATCCATTTTTCATATTCCCTTATAATATTTCAGCTAAAAACCATTTAATTTCTATCCAACATCATTCTAACATTCATTAATTTTACAATATTTCTGTAAATAGTCTTTAAATTTCTTCCAATCTTCTTCCACCGACTCTTTTCCCTGGTCTCGGATTCTGCCAGTCATTTCCGCCAGTTCCATGTAGTCAATCACCTTCGTCTGCCATTCTTCCAGAGTGGGTAGATCTTGTGTCTTCCAATACTTTGCAATGAGTATTCTTGCTGCTGTTGTGGCATACCTAAAGTAAGTTCTGTCCTTCTTTGGCACCAATTGGCCGACTATGCCCAGGAGAAAGGCCTCTGGTTTCTTCAAGAAGGTATATTTAAATACTTTTTTCAATTCATTATAGATCATCTCCCAGAAAGCCTTAATCCTTGGGCACGTCCACCAAAGGTGAAAGAATGTACCTTCAGTTTCTTTACATTTCCAACATTTATTATCGGGCAAATGATAGATTTTTGCAAGCTTGACTGGTGTCATGTACCACCTGTAAATCATTTTCATAATATTCTCTCTTAAGGCATTACATGCCGTAAACTTTATACCTGTGGTCCATAACTGTTCCCAGTCAGCCATCATTATGTTATGTCCAACATCTTGTGCCCATTTAATCATTGCGGATTTCACCGTTTCATCCTGAGTATTCCATTTCAACAGCAAGTTATACATCCTCGATAAAGTCTTAGTTTTGGGTTCTAACAGTTCTGTTTCTAATTTTGATTTTTCCACCTGGAAGCCAATTTTCTTATCCGAATTATATGCCTCCATTATCTGATAATAATGAAGCCAATCTCGCACTTTGTTTTTAGTTTCTCAAAACTCTGCAGTTTCAATCTGTCTCCCTCTTGTTCCAGAATTTCCCAATATTTTGGCCATTTGGCCTCCATATTGAGCTTTTTCAATGCTTTCGCTTCCATCGGTGACAGCCACCTTGGGGTTTTATTTTCCAATAAATCCTTATATCTTATCCAGACATTAAACAATGCTTTCCTGACAATATGGTTCTTAAATGCTTTATGTGCTTTGATCTTATCATACCACAGATATGCATGCCATCCAAATACATTATTAAAACCTTCTAAATCCAAAATGTCTGTGTTTTCAAGAAGCAGCCATTCTTTCAACCAGCAAAAAGTTGCTGATTCATAGTAAAGTTTAAGGTCTGGCAGGGCAAATCCACCTCTTTCCTTTGCATCTGTTAGTATTTTAAATTTTATTCTAGGCTTCTTGCCCTGCCAGACAAATCTAGAAATATCTCTCTGCCACTTCTTGAAACAGTCCATTTTGTCCACAATTTGCAATGTTTGAAACAAAAACAACATTCTAGGCAATACATTCATTTTTATCGCAGCAATACGACCCAGCAGTGAAAGCTTCAAATTTGACCAAATTTCTAAATCTTTTTCACTTCGACCCAGCATTTTTCATAGTTGTCTTTAAATAAATTCCCATTTTTGCTGTCATGTTAATCCCCAGGTATTTCACTTTCTTAACCACTGTTAAGCCTGTCTCATTCTGAAACCTCTCTCTCTCAATCGGTGTTAAATTTTTCTCTAAAACCTTGGTTTTTAACTTATTCAGTTTAAATCCTGCAACCTGACCAAATTCTTGAATCAGTTCTAAAACCCTTTTGGTACTAGATTCTGGCTCCTGTAACGTCAATACTAAGTCATCTGCAAATGCTCTCAATTTGTACTGTTTGGCTCCGACTTGTATACCTTTAACCAACTGGTCCCTTCTAATCATATTCAGCAAAACCTCCAGGACCGATATAAAAAGCAATGGGGAAATTGGGCAACCTTGTCGTGTCCCTTTTTCTATCTTAAATTCTTCCGTCACCACATTATTTACAATTAGTTTAGCCTTTTGTTCTGAATAAATTGCACTTATACCGTTTTCAAAGCCTTGGCCTACCCCCATCCCCTGTAGGTTCTTCTTCATAAAGCTCCAAGAGATATTATCAAAAGCTTTCTCCGCGTCCACAAATATCAAAACAGCTTTAGTATTTATGTTCACTTCTAATTTTTCCAAAATATTAATTATATTCCTCAAATTGTCAGACAAGTGTCTTCCCGGGAGAAAGCCCGCTTGGTCTTTATGAATCTCTTCCATCAACACTTTTTCAATCTCTTGGCCAGAATATCTGCAAAGATTTTGTAATCCACATTAAGTAATGATATGGGGCGGTAGTTCTTAAGCTGAGTCTTTTCAGTCTCTGTTTTCGGTATAAGTGTAATATACGCTTCTTTCCACGACTCTGGTGCCCTTTTCCCGTCCAATATTTCATTGCAGACTTCCTTTAAAGGTTGTACTAACCACTCTTTCAAGGATCTATAGTATCTAGAAGTCAGCCCATCCGGTCCTGGAGATTTGCCTAGTTGCATGTTTTGAATGGCACCTTCTACTTCCTGTTCAGATATTTTATAGTTCAACCATAATTTGCTTTCTTGAGAGATTTTTTGTAGTCCATTTATCTTCAAAAATCGATCTATATCCATTTCTTTCTGTGGCCCTTGTGTATATAATTGTTTAAAGTACCTCTGGAAACAGTTTCTAATCTCAGCAGGGTTGTGTATGTTCTTTCCTTCCACTTCTAAATTTGTAATAGTATTTAATTTTTGTCTTTTTTTCATTTGCCAAGCCAGCAGTTTCCCACATTTATTAGCTGATTCAAATATTTTTGTCTCATTTGTTTAATTTTCCATTCTATTTCCTGATTCATCATTTCCATATATTGTACTTGATATAATTTTATTTCTCTCAAAATCTCCTGCGACTTTGGTTTTGCTCTCAATTTCTTCTCACTTTCTTTTATTTTCTCCAAAATTTTATCCTTCTTCTCATTTTGGCTCCTCTTCTTTATTGCATTCTGTTGTATCAGGAACCCTCTCATAACCGCTTTGCTTGCGTCCCAGATTACTCTTTTTTCAACATTAGTGTTCATATTTATCTCAAAATAGTCTCTCAAAATTTTTGGGCCTTCTTAATCACATCTCCATCTCTAAATAAGGTGTCATTCATCCTCCATCTGAAGGAGCCAGTTGATATTAGTTTCATCTCCATCCTTACAGCATTATGGTCGGAGCAGGTTTTTGGACAAATTTCCGCTTTCTTTATCTTTGGTGCCATTCCTCTAGTTACCCATATTTGGTCGATTCTAGTCCATGTCATCTTGGCTTCAGAAAAGAAAGTTCCCTCTCTTCCCAAGGGATTCTTTGTTCTCCAGATGTCAACTAAGTCCAAGTTGTCTGTCATCTCAAAAAATGTTTTCGGTAGTCTACCATCCTTGGTGACTACCTGTCTTTGTGCCTTATCCATGTTTGTAGATACTACTCCATTCATATCCCCCATCAAAATCAGATTGTAATCCAAATAGTCCATTAAGTTCTCATGAAACTTTATAAAGAATACAGAATAACCCTCGTTCGGTGCATATACTCTTACTATCAGAAATTTCTCTCCTTGTATTTGAATTTCAATTGCCACAAATCTTCCTTGATCGTCTTTAAAAATAAATTTCGGTGATAGTCTCTCCTTTGCATAGATCACTACTCCTCTTTTTTTAACTTTGTCAGATGAAATAAACTCCTGTCCCAATCTCTTGTTAATCAGTGGTTTCCTGTGTAACCTTGTTACGTGTGTTTCTTGTAGACAAATCAAGTCCAATTGTTCCTTTTTTAATAAATGAAAAACACTTTTCCTTTTCCGAGGAGAGTTAAGACCATTACAATTCCAACTTAATAGTTGCAGAGCCATGATGTTATTACTTTGCTTTACCTCCAACTGCACCAAGTGTTTGTTCTTGTTCTGTCGGTGGTGTCACTTTCTCTGAACCATGCAATCCAAAAGATAAGTTTGCTATATCTAATATTCCTCTTTCCAGTGCTTTTGGCTCTTCTCCAGATTCCACTTCTTTCTGTAAGTCTTCTCCGTGGTCTTTCAAGAATCTATCTTTATCGTCGACTGATCTTATTTTTATCTTTCTTCCTTTATATTTAAAGGACAGGCCTTGGGGAAATTCCCACCTGAAGATGATTCTGTTGCTTCTCAGCAGGGCAACCAGGTCTCCGTAGTTAGATCTTAAGTCCAAGAGATGTTTTGGGATGTCCTTAAATATCTCCACGCTTGACTCATGTATTTCCAAAGTCTTTCGGAAGTGCAGATTCAAGATTTTGTCTCTCTCCTCTTTTGTTCGAAGGGTAATCAAACAGTCTCTCACCTTATTCTTCTTTCCTCCTCTTCCAAGCCTAAATGCGTTCACTATCTTAAATTCTTCCTTCCCCAAATCCTGTTGCCAGAAATCTGCAAATTCCTGCGTAAGAAAGTCAGTCAAGTTATCTTTCTCAAGTTCCGGTACAGCCCTGATTCTCAAATTCGTTTGTTTCTCCTTCAATTCAATCATGGACAACGTCAACCCGTGGTCCTCAAGTTGCCTATATATCGGTGGTATCTTCTCTTGAGTAGTAGTTGCTATGTCCTTTGCTTCTTCAGCTGTCTTTCGGGTCAAAGCAGATTCCTGTAACAATTTCTCAATAGTCTCTGTATTGGTGTTCACCTTCTGTCCCAAATTATTGATACTTGTAGTATTTTGGTCAATTTTAACTGATGCTTCCGCTACTTGTTTATTTGTTTCAGCTACTTGTTTACTTAAATTTTCCAAAGATTCATTAATTTTTCCTAGTGCCAGGGCTAAAACGTCTTCAGACGACATTCCTTTTGGTTTAACTTGTAAGGGTGCAGCCCCTGATAATCCAGATGGTCCAGAAGGACCAGATGTTGAGGCTCTTCGCTGCGACCCAGTATCTGTACGGAAAGATCTGCCAGACCTGGTAGTTTTTTCCTGAATCAACTCTAACTTTCCTCTTCCATCTGCCATAACACTCTCATAGAAGTCCAAGGTCAATCCCACGGCTGGAATTTGTTTTGAAATGGAAAATTCCCCTAGCCCAGTTGTTATTGTAGCAATATCAAGCCTCCTCTAGGGGGACACAGTAGCAGTCAAAGCTTGCAACTTTAAGAAAAAATAATAATCTTTATAAATCCCCCAATTCACAAAAAAGAAACAGTTTCAATTGCACTTAATCGGTTACTTTTAAACCAGGAGAAGTCCAGAAACACTGTATCTCTCTTGCAGAGTTAGCTGTCAAAAGTACTCTATTTGCCAATAGTGCTTTTCACAGAACGGCATTCCTTGTCCCAAGGCAGTCCGTTCCCAGGTTCTAAGCGGTGGATTTTAGCTTCCTTTCCCTCCTTTTTTTGCAGATAAATACAGTTCAAACCTTTCCCCCCTCCTCTCCTGCAAACCCGAGGGGAGATCGCTGTTCTGATGTTAGGATTTGCGTCCTTTTTTCAAACGTCTTTCAAAGTTTCCGCTTACAGTCTCTTTGCTTTGATCTGTTTACAAGAAACGGAAGGCGGACTTCCTGTTTATGCCTCCCCGCTTCGGTTCCGAATTATTGTTTTTCTCCCTTTAAATCCAATTTTATCCTACTCACGGGTAGTTACTTTTGAAGTCGAATTGTCCCAGGAAAAAGTCGGCGCTCTCCGATAACGGCTGTGTGGCTTCACTCCGCGGAAGAAGCAGTCGACTCTCAGCACCGCGCCGCTCACCCCGTTTCGCTCCGGAGCCCAAAAATGGGTTCCTTCGCAGATTGGGGGGGCGCCAAAGGTGCCCGCCGAGTCCCACGTTCACAGGCTTCACCCGCCTGTGACTTTTGAAGGGTCCCCGCTTCGCCGCAGCGGTGCAGACCCGATCCCGCGGAGCTGGTCCCTCAGAAAGTCAGAGGGAATCCGCCATTACCGATGGCGCCAACCTGGAAGTCCCCAAACCGCCGACCTTCTGATCGGCAAGTCCTAGGCTCTGTGGTTTAACCCACAGCGCCACCCACGTCCCTCATACAAAAACATAGTAAAACATTAAACATTAAAAAACATCCCTATACAGGGCTGCCTTCAGTTGTCTTCTAAAGGTTGTCTAGTTACTTATCTCCTTTGCTTGAGGGTCCCATAGCTCCATACACTCTGATGAAAATCACCCTAAGCAAAAGTAGGACATTCCGGGATCAAATCAGACACACGGAGGGCTTCTGTAAATCCAGGACTGTCCCTGGAAAATAGGGACACTTGGAGGGTCTGCAATTCTGGATGCACGTAACTGGCAGTGATGTCCATAGATTTTGCATCCCAATAGACATGCATAGGATTATTCTGTTAGACTTTGTTGGACTTCACACTAGCGGGCCATCTGCACGATATATCCTGTGGTTTGTGGCTGAATACAGTACTGATGAATTTTCTTGCTGCAGCAGAAAAAAGACGATAAAAGTTCCTTGGGGCTGCTTTTGATGAGAATGGGTTTTCCTGGTTTGTTTGCAGGTCTTCATTGCCGTAAACTGCCTCAGCACAGACTTCTCATCTCAGAAAGGTGTCAAAGGACTTCCTCTGAATCTTCAGATTGACACCTACAGCTACAACAACAGGAGCAACAAGCCAGTCCACAGAGCTTACTGCCAGATTAAAGTCTTCTGTGACAAGGTAAAGCTGATGGAGTCTGTAAAATGATAGCTTTATTTAGGAATGTTTTGCCTCTTTAGTTTAGTCCGTCAGTCTCATTTCTTACAAGGCAAGCAGAAAAATAAACAATTCAAATTGTTTATTTTTTTCTGCTTGTCTTGTAATAAATGAGATTGACTGGCTAAACTAAACTACAATTCAAAACAACAACAGCAACACTCTTCACCACTTGGAAATTAAGATGACCTGTTACTTTTTGAGACTCATTCAGTGTTGTGCTATTTGCATATTTGGTGAGGGCGCAATCACTTGGAAAGGATGTCAAGTGAAAAGTCTCAAGTGTGTGTACACACACATACACACATTGATGCTATGAACCTTCCATTTCAAACAGAAAAATACGAGCACATGCTAGATTTTCTTATTTATAACTCTGAGGTGTTTAATGAAATTGCTAACCAACCAAAATGAAGAACTCTTCCAGCTATCCCACAAATTCCACTAACCAAAGCTAATTATTTTTGTATTGTCATCACTGATCATTTGCTTGCTTTTTTAAACACACACACACACACAAGCATCACGTAGCTCATGAAGATTGATGTCAACTACCTGATGACTATCAGTTTCTCAGGAAATGAATTCTCAGCCCTGTTAAACTTTTTGAAATAAATGGAATCCAAAACACACCTAATTCTTGACCATGAGAGATAAAATTGTAGACATTATTGGCTTTTAATAAATAACCAACAATAAAAGCAAGTTATTTTAGGAACATTTTCCCTACTTTTAAATATTAATATTTTTTGGAATGAACTTCAATTATAAAGAAATAAAGTGATACAGAGAAAAAAAGTGGGGGGACGTGTGAGAAAAAACAAAGATGTGTATAAGAAAAAAAATACTTAAAAAAAAGTATTTTAGGAACAAAGCAGCGTGGTTCATCTAGTTTGCCAACTCAGGCCTACTTGATTTCCCTCTTTTGGCATTTCTACATCATCTGGGTTAAGCGGTCATTCTGTCCTGCAGATTCTGTCCCCATTAACAAAAAAATGTAGTGCTAAATCCAAGTAGCAAAACATTGAAGAACAAGGTCGATCTGCTTTTTTTTAATCTACTTTTTTAAAAAAAATCAAGGCTGCTCGCTGTTGAGGAAAAAACAACGAAGCTGGGTCCAAATGGGCCTGTTTTCATCTACAGTTCAATCTTCATCTTTATTGATTAGCTTACAAGATGAAAGTTTACAAGACAGAAACTTCCATGTTCTCAGTTTGGGTTTCTGTGGCTTTACTGCTGCACCTTTGTTTTACCACCTGTAGCCAGTAGTTTAACCTAAAACTTTGCCCCACTAGTTGCACAAGATCAGTTTACATGCATTTGTTTTGCTCTATGTATTTGTTGGGGGAAGCTACACCCTATGCAGAGTAAGGCTGGGCAATATCTGGTTTATCACCAGCTAAACATTGCGATATACCAATATATCACAATGTCTGAAATAAGGATAGAGCTCTGTAGAGGCATTGGCTGGCTGGCTTCATGGTTTCCCCCTCATTGTGATTTTTGCATAGCACACACACACTGACACACACATACACCCACACACCCACACCGTGATTTGCGATATATTGCCAGGTCAGAAATTATGAAACCAATATCTCGATGTGGACTTCAAACCGGTTTTGGACGATATATCAGTATATCACCCAGCCCTAGCGCAGAGAGAGTATATCCACTATATGGTAGTGCAGAGCTTTCCAAACTGTGTGTCGGCTGCAGTGTGTAGGTGTGTGTTGCGCGAACGCTCCCCTCACTCCTCCCAGGTCTGGAAAGGGGTTAGTTTAACCTCCGGTTTGCTAGGAAAACTGAATTACTGTGTTGCAAAATCATGCATGTCTAAAAAGTGTGTCACCAACATGAAAAGTTTGGAAAGCTCTGCAGTAGCGGAGCACAGCCTCGATAAAATTTATTATAAAGGATGACAAATGTAGAATTAGCAATCACAACAAGTCTAACAAAACAAGACCTTAACAAAATTGGCACCTGCTCAGTAATAACAGTATTAGTTCCCTCAAGAAGGTCTCTAAAGATTGACCTGGAAACAGTCTCAGGAGAGGATGGATTATATGCTTTCTAACCCCCTGGTTAGAACTGCAGTAAAACAACACATGGTTGACCGTATCCACCTTGGTATTGTTACGGGATCATTTGTCTTTAAAAGGAACTCAAGCAAACATGACATCCAAAAGCTTTGAAAGTAACATTTTAAAACAATAAAATAAGTCTGCTTCACTTTAGGTATTGATCAATAAAAAAATTAATAGGGCACATAGCAAATTAAAAGCGATATTTCACACCAAACCTGAATACACCCTTTCCTTGTTTTCTAAATGAGACAAATCAATTTATTCTGTTTGTAGCATCCTTTCACCCATGTATAAAACTAACACCTGTGTATAAAACTAACTACTTCAAGCTGTTGTTTTGATCCTCATTGCTTATGGCAAGGGACATAAACAATGCTTACAACTACAGTAGTACCTTGGGTTAAGAACTTAATTTGTTCCGGAGGTCCGTTCTTAACCTAAAACTGTTCTTAACCCGAAGCACCACTTTAGCTAATCGGGCCTCCTGCTGCCACCGCACTGCTGCTGCGTGATTTCTGTTCTCATCCTGAAGCAAAGTTCTTAACCCGAGGTACTGTTTCTGGGTTAGCGGAGTCTGTAACCTGAAACCTCTGTAACCTGAAGCGTCTGTAACCCAAGGTACCACTGTATTTTCTGTCTTGAATCTGCCCGCCCCCCCGCACGCGCAAGGCAGGTGCAATAATTGATCATTCATACTTGGTTGCAATCTACATTTCTAATATATTGTCCATAATACTTCAAGCCTTGCTTTGACATAAGAAAAATTCTGTTTATTGATTATAAAACAGAGACACCAGTTATACTGGCTGAGAGTTGCAGCAACAATTTTCTTGCCTACCACCCTTTAAAACAGTTGTGAAGATTAAATGTAATAACTAACACCATAACACTCCATCTTCAAAGAGTTAGACTTACTATGTCTTTGATGATTTGAACTGTGTATGGGTTTGGTTTCAAGTTCAATGACTTTTGGAAGAGGAAGAAGTTCCAAGCGTGACTGACTTCCACAATGCCTGATTTGGGAGGGACCAGGGATGCTGACCTCAATGGAGAGGAAGCCAAGCCTCTGTAAATAACCTTTCTTCTTTCTATCTGACAGGGGGCAGAGAGGAAGATCAGAGATGAGGAACGAAAACAAAGCAAAAGAAAAGGCAAGTGTACTGACCCCAGCTCCCAGCTGAATGCCTGTAAGTAGAAAATATTAAAGTGCCATTTAATTTAGTGGAAAATTTCAACTAAATCTGATTTGAAATGCAAGCAATGGTATAAAGGAAATATTAAAGTGCCATTTCATTTAGTGGAAAATTTCAACTAAATCTAAATTTGAAATGCAAGCAATAGTATAAAGCACAGGGTTGGTTTGTTTTTCTTAAAGGGGAGGTGTGCTGATGTGGGGCAGACAATAATGGTGTTGGTGGAATTGAACCTTTATTTAGCCCTTGCTAAGATAGGTGTGTTCAGCTTGAGGAGAGGCAGTCGAGCAAGAAAATGCAACTTTAATGCAATTACACCAAGACATGAATGTAGGGCCACCTCACAAACTATATTATTAACAGGATTTTCTGAGGCAGAAGTAGAGATAAATGCATTTAAATACATTCATTTTGGAAATGGTGTCTTGGTAGAATATCTGAATGTTCCTTGGGGCATCCAAAACTTGATGTTATAAATTTGGGGGTGTTAAACTGGGTGCTAGACCACTCTAATCCCTGGATCCAGTAAGTGTTAGAATTTAATCAATGCTTCTAATTCTTGGAATAGTCAGACAAGCCTCCTGGTGAGGTAATAGCCTGGGTGATGAGGGGGATTAAGGGGCTCAGTGCAAGATGGCATATGAGAGCAGGGTCCCCACGTCTCAAGAGATAAAGCCAGAGTTTAGAGAGGAGAGTTTGGAGCAGTGACCTAGAAGTAAAGCAGAAAGCTGGAGAGAGAATCGGAGCAACGCAGAAAGCAGTGGTTGATTTCTGTTTGAATCCAAGACTGGGGTGTTCATGCTGTGAACCCCCTCCATAGGATCAGGATGTATATATGCGTAAATAAACCATATATCATAAAGGCACCACAGTCTCTGCCATGCCTCATTTCCAAAATGAAACATGAAGCCTGGAACCCCTGGAATGTTGCACCACTTGTAAATTGGGGTGGCATGCAACAATACATTTATCCTCCTGCTTATAATCCTATCAGGGTCCTCAAGTTGACTCCCAAAATAAAATTCTAGATCCCAACCCATTTTTAGTTGTGTGGCTAGGGCTTGTCCACACACTAGAGTTTACAGCTGTTTGCGTTCCCATATACTTTATGTAGTCCACATGACATTAGCCTGCACAACACCAGTCTCAATGCTTTTACCCTGTAAATTTGGGTTTACCTGATATGAGGATAATCCAAGAAGTTGTGGGAAATCAAATCACTCCACTCTGGATCACAGCCAATTTGTTTTTGTGATGTTTTGGGGCTCAGTCAGCCTTTTCCATGTTCAGCACTTCCTAAGTGCTTTCATTTCCCCCCGCAGCTGTACTAGTAGCTATTTCCAGGGCTCTCCTGAATGGATTTTTTCCCCTTTTTGATCCCTTGGATTTGCACAAAACAGGAAAATTGCACAAGCAGACATAAACTGTGTGCTTTTGCATACTACTTGGGCAGGGAATTATTTTAGAAAATCAAGGTGCGTGCACAGCTATCTGCACCACAGACCCTGCTGGTACTTAACTGACAGAATCCATGGCGTAGAAGGCAGGGACGAACACAAAAGGGACCACTTAATCCAGTCGTGACCGACTCTGGGGTTGCGGCGCTCATCTCGTTTTATTGGCCAAGGGAACCGGCGTACAGCTTCCAGATCATGTGGCCAGCATGACTAAGCCGCTTCTGGTGAACCAGAGCAGCGCACGGAAACACCGTTTACCTTCCCGTTGAAGCAGTACCTATTTATCTACTTGCACTTTGACGTGCTTTCGAATTGCTAGATTGGCAGGAGCAGGGACCGAGCAATGGGAGCTCACCCTGTCGCGGGGATTCGAACCGCCCACCTTCTGATCGGCAAGCCCAAGGCTCAGTGGTTTAACCCACAGCGCCACCCGCGTCCCAACACGTATATCTCTGGTGGCAGTGCTTTATTCAGCTAAGCAGAATCAACACTCAAATTTGGACACGCCTTAATAAATGGAGTCCAGGGCAGGGCTGCATAGATAGAGATGGGAGTTCAATGGGGCAAGTTAAGGACGAAAAAAGAGTCTTGCTGGATCAGACCAAAGCCCATGTTCTCACCATGACCAATCAGATGTCTGTGGGGAGCCTGCAAGCAAGACAGGAGTGCAACAGGGTACTTGTGGCCCTTTGTCTTTGAGCTCATAATATAACAGGCCTGCCAATTTTTGCAGCAGAATGGTAGTATAGGAAAGAGTCTCAAATCCACTCCCAGGATCTCCATTCTACTTTGTTCCACTTGGCAAGGAGTCGTAAAACAGGCTCTTCTTCAGAAAGCAGACACTAAGGGAGGTTGTGTGTGAGAGAAATGTATTATTTCCTTCTTCTTTCCAACAGTTTCTGACGTCAAAGTGCCGCTGCTTCCGTCCCACAAGCGTACAGATATCACTATCTTCAAGCCGTTCATGGACCTTGATACTCAGCCAGTTCTCTTCATACCTGATGTTCACTATTCCAATCTTCAGCGGGGAGCTCATGTACGATTCCTCTTTTGCTTTATATCTGGGAGGGAGGGTGATAGTAAAGAAGTAAGAAAGGTTATTTCTCAAAGTATAAAAAGTGTTTGTGACAGGAGGAGACAAAGGGGGGGGGGGAATGAAAGAGGGCTGAGTAGCAGGTATATGAGGGTTAACAGGAGAGCAAGAGTAGCTGAGAATTTTTGAAAAAGCCAGGGTGGTAGGCATCCAGGAAGCACTTTGAAAGGACTGGGTTTAGGGGGGTTGGAAGATAGAGAGAAGGTGAGAAAGGGAGCAGTGGGCAGGAGCCTCTCCAAAGTTAGGAGAACAGCGAGATGGGAGATCTATAGGTTGGTGATGGATAAAGGAAGAAAGCAAACCAGTAGCAGACAATGGCTAGTTCTGAATGGTTTCCAAAGCACTTTTCTACCAGTTGTCAAGGTTGCTGGGTACATGCAACACAACTGTACTGATCGGTTATTAAGTTTTCTCCAGAACATGTAAAAATAACTGGACTCCCCCCCCCCCCCCCGTACCCTTTCTAGGTCTTTCCTGTTGCATCTGAAGAACTGGAGGGTGAAGGGTAAGATTTGTTACCACTTCCATACTCCAGAGCTGCTAAATATTTTTGAATGAGGAATGCACTGTTTTGTTCTAGTGAGGGATGGGGAACTCAGGGCCCTCCAGGTGTTACTGAGTACAACCCCATCACCCCTGGTCATTGGCCAATGTCTGCTGGGATGGATGGGAATTAAACAACATCTAAAGCAGGGGTGGGAAAACTTTTTGCCTCCAAGGGCCAAATCCTTATCAGGATCTGCCTCGTGGGCCAAATGTGACCAGTGAGTAGGTCCACCATTTGACAAGATCACTGGATTGGCAGGGTAGCGGGGACACCCACCTGTCAAAATTCCTTGCCCTAAGTCTCTCTACACTTCCGCTTTAAGCCTCTGACAGTGGGGACTTAAAGGGGGAGGGGGAAACCTTGCAAAAGCATTTAAGAGAGCCCCCCACATTCCCTTTCGAATGCAGGAGATGTCTTAAATCCTTTGCAAAACTTGCACGGGAGCTGCTGCAAAGAGCACTTTTGCAGAGGACTTTTAATACCTGTTTTGCAGATGAGCAGGGATTAAAATTCTGCTTTCTTGTTTCCTGCTGGGAGCAGGACTGCGCAGACATTGCATGATTAAACACTGTCCTTTTGCCCATTGGCTGATGTCACCTGTGAAGCTAGCTGATAGGTGTGGTTTGGGGAAAGTGGTCTTGCAAGCTTTTGGATTGAGTGATCTGATGGCCTGGCTGGTTTTCTTGTAGCTCTGCCATGAAGAGGGGGCCTTATATCAATGAAGATGATTTTGCTGCCACGCCGGTTAAGCTGTCTCGAATAGAAGAACCAAAGAGAGGTAAATAATGCCACTAACCAGGAGGAAAAGAAAGCGCTGTTTGGGTTGTACTTCATAATAGTCCAGTATGGGTTCTAAAAGGCAGTATGGATTCTAAAAGGCAGGCTTGTGTTAGCTAATTTTGCCAGTACATGAGCCAGGTCCCCTTGACATATTACAGGACCGGGGAATTGAATCTGGCCTGTGGGCTGGATCCAAAAGTCCTCCACCCACACCTGGCCACTTTGACTTGGGGGGGGGGGATCAAATACACAGTACAAAATATACCACATGAAGCAGCTCTAAACCCAGAGAAACATTCACTCAAATGAAAACTTTCCCCCCTCAGTTGTCATCTTCCACAACATGAATGAATGGCTTGCTTTTTACATTATAGCAAGTAACAAAATAGGTCACCGGCTTGCATGGAGAACTTAAGGAAGCTGTGCATATTACAGTTCTAATCCACTTCAGCCTTCCATTTTAGCTCTTCAATTCATGGAAGTTATTCAGACTGGCAGTCTTGCCCTAAATTCACCCCTATCGACCAGTATCTTAGTATAATATAAACTGAAACTGTAGGTGTGGTACTGTTATCGCCTATAGCAAATAGAACTTTGATAGCATTCATTCACAGGGGTGAATTAAGGGCAGCCAATATACTGTGCTCAGTTTCCTTGCTTTGTGTGATCTTGAGCCTCAGCACAGCTTTCCTCTGTAGTGACACATCCCAAGCGCTTGAGGCTCCCTGTTGCAATGTGAAATGGTCTCCGATATCTTGATTTGAAGGCGCAAGGTCTTCATAGATGGGACAAAAATACCTAGCAAACAGAATTTCCTTATTGATTGATCAGCCTCTCATGCCACCAGAACATCACAAATCCAGCTTGCTGAATAACAGAGTTCCTCACCCAGTCTAGGTACACTTGGCCCGGGCTCAAGTCATTGTGCTACTCCTAGAATGTAGCGGTGAGGGAGGTTAACTGCTTGTATTCACATCTGTACCTATAAGCAAACTTTATCGTAATTGCTTGAAAGCTACTGCTTCGACGAAGGTCCCATATGCACTATATATTTAAAGCGGTATTATATCACTTTAAGGTTTACCCAAGAAATTCTGGGAACCACAGATATGTTCAGGGTTCTGAGAGTTGTTCGGAGCCAGAGCTACAGTTTCCCGAGTGACTTGACAATCCCTCTTTCCAAAGAACTCTTGACTGCGACTTATTTCTCGTTAATCACTTCATTTTGGGAGACCTGTTGTTAGTACACTGAGTTGATGGGCCCAGTTTAATTTTGTTCACGTGGTTTAGAATATATGTGAACATTCTATGACATCACAGTAGTCCAGTCAACCTCCAGCCAAATGTCACCATATTTTGATTTTTGAAATTCTAAGAGTAGAAGAACCACCTCATTCTCAAGGTGGGGGATGGGTTGCTCTCAAAGAAAGCATTTATTATGACAAGTCCCTGGAGTGTCCATTATGAGGAGTTAAGTGCAGAATTTTCTCCAGTCCTGTTTCCTCCTAGGCAGGCCCACACACTATCAAGCTTCTACCTGGTTTGCAGAGAGTGGATTTAAAGTACTGCTTCTGACTGCTCTGGCCTGAAATAGTTATGCGCCGCATTATAGCATCTCAACTTATTGTTTGACTAATAAATGCCTAATGTTTGTTTTCAATCTGATTTTTTTCTAAATCCTCATTGACTTTGTCGTTGTTCCAGTGTTGCTGTATGTTCGAAAGGAATCGGAAGAAGTCTTTGATGCACTTATGCTCAAGAGTCCGTCTCTGAAGGGTCTAATGGAAGCTGTAAGTTGCAAGCTTCTCTAGCACCAAATTTTAGTAAAAGCTGGAGAAACAAGATGCCCAGCTTTCTGTACTTCAGGGATATAACCTTGCTATTTGGTGTGGTTGTCCTATTGGTTTCAACAATAGAAATGCCTAGTGAATTGTTCTCCCTAAGCCTAAAACTGCAGCTGTGCTTGAATCACTGCACTAACTCTGGACCCCATTGGACCTGTGCAAATATTTTCTTTGATGGAAGAGAGAGGGGGGAACATTAAAACCAATTTCACTACCAGAATGACCCTTTGGATGAAATAGAAAGAACACAGCGTAACATTAACATTAGATTTTCCACTGGCACGTTTTATGAACTGAGAAGGCAAGAGCTTTGGTTACTTGTGTGTCCTCTTTGCATGCATCTCATGTACTTTGCTAACACGAAGGGGAAGTTGAGAACAGAAAGGACAGCCACCAATCTCATAGTACAGAGGGGTAGAGCTAGGCAAAGGGCCAGTAAAGCTATTGCCCAGGAGGACTATGGGAGCTCCAGGAACCAGTCTAGCTCTCAGAAAACCCATAGATTTACCCAGTTTGTGCCATCAAATCCTTACTTAAATATGCCAGGATATGCATGATCTTCAGGCCCTCGCACAAAACTTATTTGGTCCTTCCATGGTTTAAAGCTGGCTCTCGTATCCTGGCTTGTTTTGAAGCCATTCATCATAGTTCCAGGTTTGCATGCAACATGAGACCATTGGTGAACTGTGACTTCCTGGTTTGTTTCCCCACTTGTCTAAATGGCTGCATGTGGGTGCATGACGCTGATGCATATCCTGACTTATTAAATCAGGATTAGATCATGCAGACAAGCCACTTAGTCCATCCCATTGTCCTCTGGAGAACAGCATGTGCCTTAGTTTTCTGTTGACACAGAAAATGATCCTCGTTTTGTGGCTGACCTCTTTAACTGCAAGTTCCTACAATCTGACTTTTTTTCCTATGCCAAAATTAGCATGTAATCTCTTGTAATGAGGCAGACAGTAGTGTTGATCTCATGTGAATGACCTTACTTGCTCAGGTCTTGCCAGTGTGCCAGGTTCTTTAAAAATGCTTTGTCTGTCTCCCTCTCTTTCTCTTCCCACCCCCATGCTGCATAATGGATGAAGATATTCTTTGTGTATGCTTCTTCACACTCATAGGTATATAAAAAAATCTACTTCATTGCAAAGCTTAACCAAGAAACTATCAAGCCTAAAATATATTTTGAGAATGTGGGATGAAAACAGCCACATCTGAAGTCTTATTAGGGACATTTTCACAGGGCAATCCTATTTTTGTTGCGGGTAGAGGTGCTGAGCAGAAAACCACTCAAATCTGTGCTTTCCATGTGTGGAACATGCAGAATAACTATTATTATTATTATTATTATTATTATTATTATTATTATTATATGCCACCCATCTGACTAGGCTGCCCCAGCCACTCTGGGCATCTCCCAACAAAATATAAAAAATACAATAGTTTTGTTGGCGAGTCCTCAGTTCTGTGGTAAGAATTTGGCTTCTACACCAAATTTGTTACCAACACGGAACCAAGAAAATTACAGGAAGCGTCAGCAGATCCAGTTAGGGACTCTGTTTATTTACTTTTGCAATCGGACAGTCTTGCCAACCAGAACCAGTTAGAAAAGACTGCCCAGACACAAATCAGAATGAAGCTTATACACAGTAGTTCAAACACAGCAAACAAAGAGTCATAAATCATCAACCATTCTTCTACATACATCAAGAAAGTTTACAGGTAAAAGGATATAAAGATACATGACTCCACACTGGTTTCAACTTCCTCTGGGTCTTTCAAAACCTGTGGTCTCAGCTTTTAACAGATCAGGCAGTTGTCTAGGCAACCAGACCTTCAGTAAGGGTTGCTGACATTCCTTTCCCATATCTCTCCCTGGAACTTCTCAAGGAGATGCCAGTGCCAACTCACAGCAGACGCAGAAAAACATCCTGCCATCTGTGCCACTTTCAGGGTCAGATAGGAGTGGTGGAACACAACATAGGAGGGGGAGGCATGAGTCACAAAATGCAGGCACACAGGAATGCATTCTAGCCCAAGGTTGAATGCAATTAATATTGAAACATTTCGCAAAATCAACACCCTGGGTCTCTAATTTTTATATCGGTTCCACTGCAGCTCATTTCACTCCCAGTCAATTTCCCAAAAGGAATCCAGTTCCAAAACAATTGCTAGGGTGTTGCTAGGTGGCTTCAAAGCTTCAAAGCACCAGATTCCATGACATAAATTTGCACAAAACCTGTAGATGCTAATTTGCAAACGTAGGTCTCCGAGTTAAATTACATTGGTGGGAGGCTGTGTGTGTGTGTGTTTCTCATTGACACTGCATTTTGTGGGATGCAGTGTGTCCGACAAGGAATTCTGAGGCCCGTCTCACACACACAAATGGGTCTTGGTCTCCCTGGGCCCACCCCGTAACAACATCTCTGCTATCCAGTAACCCTGATCACCCCCATTACTATATCCCCTGAATTCAGGTTTGCAACTACGTTTTCCTCAGAGTAGATCCATTGACATGTATGAGCTAGATTATATTTAACTGGAATACCTCAACAATTGCCAACATGGTGTCTTCTGGATGTCTGCTGGATTGCAACTCACATCTGCCTAGTCAATGGTCAGGGATGATGGGATTTGTAGTCCAAGACAGACTTCATGCTTAGAAGAATCTGCTTTGTTTCCTAATCTAAACACCTTGGCCTGGAACCAGATGCAAAACAGTGGCTCACCAGAGGAGACCCACACTTAGAATGAAAGAACACAGCATCCCTGAATTAATGCTCAGCCTGGGAATTTGTTTTTAACCAGAACTGACCTCACAGCTCATACAGAAAACCCTACTCCTGGTTTTCCTTTATTTTTCCTTTTTTAAAAGAAGAAGAAGATGGGAATCAGAAACTCTTGCAGACCCACCCAGAGGCATACCCTCTGCCCATCCCGTAACTTAGGCTGTTTGCCTTTGCTTGTCTGCCTTATGTATTCATCCAGCTAGGATTATGGAGTTGAACCAAGCCTTTGGGAAGGCTCAGAAGCTTTTGCCCTTGGGTTTCAGATTCCAGCCCCTGATCTGAGATTCCTTCACAGCAGCTTGAAATGTCTTGCATGCAAGAGGTGCTCCAAACCTTGTGCCTTGTGTAAACTTGGCTGAGAAAGTGTGGGGGGTGGGGAGTGATCGACATAACTCGATGGCTGCAACATAAGCTCCCCTCAATTGGAGACCAAAACACAAGTATGGAGAAACTATGCTGCTACAAAATGCCCTGCCATCTAATGAACATTGGCATTTGGTGCTGAGATTAGAACAAACCCAAAAATATCCTCTAACCAGGGCTGTTGATAGCTACTAGCCACAATGGCTATGCTCTGCCTACAGAGTTTGGTGGCAGCAATGCTTCTGGAAACCACAAGAGAGAAGAGTGGTCTTGTGCTTGAGTCTTGCTTGCCAGTTTCCCACAAGCACAGAATGCTGGACTAGGTGGGCCATTCAACCTGATCCAGCAGACTCTTCTTTTGTGAACTGCTGTGTAGTGCCTTTCATGGCCTTGGGCCGCCATCTTGTATATGGGGGGGGGGGAATCCTTTCTCCATTTCCCAGGGTCTTCAGGTATGTTCTCCTGTCACCACTGAGCACTCAGCTGGGTGAGACTGTAGATCTTCCGCAAGCCGCTCAGTCTGCTTTGTGACTCTGACTTTCTGAGGGGTTCTGTGGACAGGATGGCTAGAGCATACTACTCTCGTTTTATGGCATTCCCAGTGTCTTTCTTGCTTGATTTTTGGTTTGCTTAGAACACAGCATGTAATTAAAATACGGAGCTCACTGTATTGATGGTCACCAACTTGGAAATAGGTTTAGGCAAAGAGTCCACTTCTGGCTTCCTATAGGCATCTAGCTGGCCTCTGTGAGAACAGGCTGTTGGTCTGGATGGAAGGTGTACATATGTTTTTACAACCATTTCAGATGTTTGTGGAGAGCCAGGTGGAGTCTCTGACATATACTGTTCTCTCACGAGCCTGCACACCCTCAGTTCTCACAGTAGGAATCTCTTGCTTAAAAACCACTATGAACTCTTGTGCTCTTTTGTAAAGCTTACCATCTTGAATAGAAGGTTTGGATACTTTGAAAGCAAAAGGTGTTCATTATTGCCAATAGTTTAAATATTTGACCAATTTTTGGTTTCTGTAGGGCAGGAATGCTCAACCTGTGGATCTCCAGATTATTGTTGGACTGCACATCCCATAATCTCTGACCACTGAATGAGGATGCTCTGCCATAGAATGAACTTATAAATCTGACAGGATAGACTGTGAGAGAAGACAGGCTTCTCTGCATCTTGGTTTCACTGCTGTGTGTTTGGAAGTTTAAACCATGGTTTCAGTCCTGAACTACGGTTAGCACATAGCGTGAATATTAGCGCAAACTCCAAATGCAATTTGTGAGGACTCTTTCACGTCTTATTACTTCATTTTTGCGATTGTTTTCCTTTTTGCTTTGTTTAGATATCTGACAAATACGATGTCCCTTTGGATAAAATTGGGAAAGTCTTCAAGAAATGTAAAAAAGGGTGAGTATGTTGAAAATAGTATCCCTGCAGCTTTGCAGGCAAGATATGGCATCTTACATGTTGTTTTTCACACTCTCTGTACACAGATCTGCCTTCTCCCCACACTGAACCTGTTTTGAACAGGAGCAATACTGTTTCCCCAAGATATTGAGCTCTGAGAGTACAGCTGCCACACAGAATTAGAATGCAAAAGTGAGCTAATCCAAGTGAACTCACCCTCACTGCATGATTCCTCAGCTGCTGGGGAGAGAGAGAACAACCCTGGGTTGTGTGCTAAGTCTTTACTCTTCACTAATAAATAGTTTTGCTAAGGGAAAAGAAATCACCACTTAGTTCTCAAGGCAGCAACAACATATCCCTTTCTTGTACTCATTGCATGTTGTCAGAATACCCAGAAATAATCTCTCAGCAAGATGAAGTGGTATCTCTAGGACAATGGTTCCCAATTAGCTTAGTACTGCGAACCCCCTGGTTTTTCAAAAGCCAAGCCTACTTTTTGACAAATTTTGATATCTCTGTAGTAGTTTTTGTTATGTGAATTGTGCCATGGACACCCACTGCGGATCCCCGAGGTCTGAGGACCACCAATTGGGAACCGCTGCTCTAGATCATTGTCAATAGAGAATCTGAGGCCCACAGCACTGCTGTGAAAGGGAACAGCTTTTCTATATCGCACATGTTTGCAGTCCACCTCACTTGATAAATTTCAGCAGTGTCTTGCATGGTGTCAAAATTTGGCGCGCACACACACACACACACACAGAGCCTCTTGCATTCTGCTCAATTCACTATGTTGTGGTTGTGACACTCTATGGCGCTCCCTAGGCTCAGGACCCAGTGCGATGGAACCAGCCATGCTGCCATAAACCCGCCTCTGTTCTTATCACATGTTTGGTCCTTAAACTGTTTCTTTTGATAAACAAGTAAGCATAGATGTAACTGCAAATTTGAAATTATAGGTAGCTTTCCTCCTCATTGGGTAGCAAGGACCTAAGGGAATCGTGGCAACAAGCATTTTGAGTATGTTAGTGTTTGCCAGATTTTGTCTGGCGGGCTGAACCTCTAACTCAAGGTTTCCCAAACTTGGTTCTCTAGCACTGTGTGTGTGTGTGTGTGTGTGTGTGTGTGTGTCTGTGTGTGTGTCTGTGTCTGTGTGTGTGTGTGTTTTGGACTACAACTCCCACCATCCCTGACCACTGGTTCTGCTAGCTAGGGATGAAACAGCTGGAGAGCCAAGTTTGGGAAATGCTGCTCTAACTGGTCTCAATCTGTTTTGTGGTTTGCTAGAAAGCAGCCCCTATTTGGAGGGGAAAAATCCATAAATTTCCCCAATACTCCCTCCATCAGTTGGCAAGAGAACAAAGAGAACCTTGAGACCTAATGTAACTTTCCCCGTGAGACCTGGGTCCTGTTTTGCTCATCACAGAAGTGTATTTTGTTAGGTCGACCTAGAAGATTATGATGATGATGCCCATAGGGTTAGCCTAGCTTTGTGCTGCCCCACTGGGTGTGTTTCCGCTAGGTTTTAAAGCGTCCCATTTTTAATACTCTCTTATTTCCTTAGCATCTTGGTGAATATGGACGATAACATTGTGAAGCACTATTCCAACGAGGATACTTTCCAGTTACAGATTGAAGAGGCGGCTGGATCTTACAAGCTCACTCTCACTGAGATCTAAAACCAAGCTCGTTGGGGCCTCTTGCGGGGCTTTTAAATGAAGGTGGTGAATGCAAAACCTCTCATTACTTTTGTCCTCAGGATTTAAATGTGTCTCTAGGGAAGAAGCCATTTGTTCTTCCAGGGAAGAGTATATTTTGGCTGTTGTTTAACAGCGCTTCCAACATTTCTGTCCTCTTGGGAGCAACGCTGCACTTGGAATAGATAAACAAAAGACAATGAATTGGAATTCCAAGTCCCCCACCCCTGGGGGGGGGGGAAACACACCCCAGAATATTTTTACTAAAGCACTATGCAGTTACCTGCATATCCCCTTTGCTTATTAAATGTGTATGTGTTTCTTCATCAGCTTAGAGTCTCTTACTAGGCTCCCCCAAAAAATAAACTCCAATTGATGCTTACAGGAGTTCCAGACAGGCTGGACTCGTATGATGTTTACGACCGAATATGGCATATGGCTATCATTTACTTCTTCAACATCTTAGGGATGTGAAACTGCCTTGCTTTATGAAGAACTTCCTTTAAATTACTGTATGGATCCCCTTGGTGAGCTGTATTTGTATATAAATGCAGTGTATTTTGAAGGGTTGTAAATATGTACATATAAGTCATATAATATATATACATATATATATGTAAGACAAGATACATAAGATATCCGTGTGTGTGTGTGTGTGTGTGTGTGTGTGTGTGTGTGTATAATATAGATTGAATAAATGTGGTGAAGCCCATTGGGAAGGACTGTATTTATATAAATAATACACTGAGAAAAGCAGCCTCGGTTCTAAATTAAATTTATGCTGCATGTGTTCAGTCTCCTGTAAGGGGGAATTGCGGGGGGGTGGGTGAGTTCTAGCATAGCATACTTAATATTTATCATCAAGTGATAAGGTGGGACTGTCTCCATGTAAATTAATAAAGTTCAAGGTTAGAAGTAATGTATCAGTCCGGTAGAAAGCTGTAAGGATGAGTCTATATTTTCTCCAAAGGTGCAAATGTGAAGAGATATAGGTCATGTGTACCCTCCTTGAAGATAAGATTTGATGTCTTGAACCTCAGGACCATAAAAACCAGTTTACCTCTCACCATTTCTTCCCTCTGAACTTCACTATGACCCACCTTGTGTTTGGCACAGTGTTTATTTGGGGAACTCAGGTCGGACCTACATTGACCTGCTAAGCATTTAAAAAAAAACAAAAACACACACACACATTGTATAACACTGAATAGCAATTTTCCACAGTCGGTCGCTCACTGCTCTGCAGTGCCATCTGATGTTGCATTTTAATAACACATTTTTAACGTTGTAAACAACAAGTGTAGATCCATCCTCTAGTCTGCATAAGGGTGGCATATCCAGGCCTACAAGATACAAACAAACCTCATGGCTGCTTCACACCTCCTTTCACATGAGTGAATGAACAAGTTAGGATGTATTTGGTCAACTACAGTTTCCCATTACGTCTGAATAAGGAAAGTGTGGTTAGCGGCTTCGGAACAAGCCATAATATGAAGCCATTGTTTAAAGTTTTGTGATGGCTTGTGCCAAGGAAGGAACAAAGTGGTCATGTGCAAGACCCATGAGGCTCATTCATACCATGACTTAAAAGAAAGAAGATAGTCTAAATGCATGCATTCGTTGCCTTTTATCGCGCAGTTTCATCATTTCAGTGATGCACCATTATGCATATGGGGCCTCATGTTAGCTTCACAGTTAGTTAATGGATATATGGTGCTGTTTGTGATTTACAGTGACCATGATCGTGGATGGAAAGTGTTTTACTCATCTTGTTTTTGATGCCAAATGTTATTAAGCCATGTTTTCAAAAGAAGTCTTATTTACTATTAGAACTGCAGATATTGTTGAACTTGGATGTAAAGAATCCCAAGTGCCTGACTGAATATAGTAGTAGTAGTAGTAATTTTATTATTTGTACCCCGCCCATTGTACTGGGTTACACTAGCCGCTCTGGGCGGCTTTGATATACTGGTAATCTTTGATATACTTCAGATATTTAAAAGAAGCAGCAAAGATGAGGCCCAAACAGGAAACTTTATGGGGGCCTAATTTGCCAGGTGTATCTTTCACCTTCCCACATGATTACATGTCTTAGTTTTGACGCCCACGCCACAGAGGGCCTACGTAGATCTACCAAGCATGAAATATCAAAATAGCTGCTGCCCTTTAATGGGGTTTTTCAGCAGCAATAGTTAAAGCAATAGTTAATAGCAATAGTTAAAATTATTGCTCTGTGAGAGGGAATAGGGGGTCACTTAACCACTCTCAGCATCCTTAGGAAACTACAGCTCCCATGAGTCTTTGGGGGGGGAAGTCATGACTGTTTAAGGTGGTATGATCCTGCTTTAAATGCATAGCGCGGTTGGGGCCTGTGATTTCCCAATGCTAGTACAGAGTTTTGCCTGTAACACCGCACATTATGCTCTTTGCTATGTTGAACAGCACTCAGTTCAATGAACAGTAGATACCCTTCTCCGTTGTGACCGTTGTTTGTTCTGCATGTGAGTTGCCTAGCAGCAGAACCCTGAAGAAAGAAATGTGTAAAAATCAACTATATAGGTGGAAATGAACCCCAAAAAGCAACTTTCCTACAGGGAAAACTTACACAGGTTTTTGAACGGCCAAACAGCTATTGGTTTAAAAAAAGAGAGAGCAAATCTTGTTATCAAAAACAGCAACCTTTGAATATGCTGCAGTTTACACTTCATGGTTAGATAAAAGGTACTTTGACAAGGTAATTTTTATACGCACACACACATTAAGTGCATAATTTTATGTCTGATGAAAACAGAAGTTTTCCTACATTAAGTGGAATGGACTGGGGGGGGATCAGTCTTTTTTGTGTAAAAGGTTGAATTGATGCTTATTTATATACAACGCCTAAACTACTGATTGGTTTTTGGGGACATGGGGCTTAACTATAGCCATATTTGTAATGTTCTATGAAGTTGATTTTGGTCCTGTCTGCTATTTTTTGTCTGTCTAATTGAAAAATTACTGTAAAAGCAAGAACTATTAAATTTTATATGTCAGTTTGTAACCATTCTGTTACCTTTACCCAATGTTTATAATTATTACTTAAACGTTTCCCTGGAGGGTGGGAAGCCAATACAATGCCTGCAGATATCTCAAACTGTGTTACTGTTCACCTTCACAGCTTCAATCAATGTGGGAATTCCTTAACTAGCATTTATGATCTAGAATGGTGGAAACTAGGGATTGGTGAAGAGCACACAAAAAATGCTCTTTGTAGCTTTGTCCTAATACCCGCCAATTATTTTGCATGTATTGATGTATGAAGAGTCCTTTCTAAAAATTGGAAGCCACTATTTCCATTATTAGGGTGGTGAGATGGGGCCAATGGACAATTATCAGATGAAGGCAAAAAATATTTTGGTTGGTTGCCACCAGACTTTTTTTCAGCCAGAACTCAGTTCCTGCACCTCTCAGGTGGGTGCCATTGCCATTATAAGAGAACAAGGGAGGTGTTCGTGGTGAGTTCCTTCCAGGTGCTATTTTCCCAGAAAAATAGCACTGGGAGGCACAATACTCCAGTTGGGGGGGGGTCCAAGAGCCCTCCTGCCACCTTCCCCAAGTCTGCTCTGCTTCAGGAAGGAGGCAGGAGGCCTTCAGCTTCCTGTAAGAGGCTTGACGCCTCCTTCCCAAAGCATGGGAAGCTTATACCCAGCTTAGGGAGGGAAGCACGATGCTCACATGTATGACATCAGGACATAGTTACACACCCACCCACCCCCATATCGCCCTTGCAACCTCTGGCCCTAACTGTTCCCCTACAAAAAAATTCACCATGCCACTGCTTGAAAACATTTGACTTTACTTATCTTAAGCCCTCCAGAAGCTGCTGGACTCCAACTCCCATCAGCCGCAGCCAGCATGACCAATGGTTGGATATGTTGGAAGGTGTCGTCTGATGGACATAGAGGTTCCCTTCCCTGCTCTTAAGTCGTAGGCACCAGCAAGCACTCAATTGTCAGAGCTCTGTCCCTTTATTATTAAGTGTACCCTTATAGAATATCTGCAGCTGTTCTTGTTCAGCGAAAGGCACAGTGTATTGTCCCTATGTGTTTTCAACAAATGCTTCTCATCCATAAATGAAAAATCATTGAAAAATCCAACCTTGCTAAGGAGCTAAGGGAGGCATATATCACCTTCCCTTTCCAGAACGATCTTGTTCGCCTTTGCACACAGGCTGCAAATGAGCAGCCCATCATGCCATCTGCTTGTTTTGCAATGTATATAATGTACATAATTGCTCTGGCCTGCATGTACACATACCCTCAGAGAAACCGATGAAGAGCAGTGCCAACTAGATTGACCTGGCTGCTCTTATCATTATCATTGGCCTGCTTGGGCAATTGCCTAAATAAATGCACATGCCTTGCTCTGGCCTGTAGGACAGTGCACTCGGCCTTTGGTGAAGCAAATAGAAAGGGGGTGGACTTTGGTAATATGGCACCCTGAGCGAGAGCAAAATTTGATGCCCTCTTCCACTCTGCACTATGTCATAGTTTTGTGCCCCCTTGGCTAGGTGCCCTGTTGGGGGGTGAACTGACAATGCCCTAAATCCAGCACTGAGCACCTCCCCGTGTATGGTGTAGTGCAGAGACTAGGAAGGTGAGCTTGGCATCTTGGGATCAACTCTTTTCAACCTTTATATATATATTATTTTATTTATTCAGAATATTTATATTCCTCTTTATACTCCCAGTAGCCTTTCAAAGCAGCTTACGAAAGTTTCTCAAAATTCAATTACATAACTGGCAGATTCTGCATGCACCATTCCAGTTGCTTGACAAAAGCAGCTTCCCCAAAATATAGGACTTTCTGTGATAAGGAAAGTGTGGGGTGACTTCTGCCATAACACAATATCTTTTCACTGCTGCACAAACAAATCAAAGGATGAATGCCCAGTATGTTTAATAAGCAGTTAGTCTGGAAGCACCCCCTAGTAAAGCCATTTG